TTTTACAGGAATACATTTCTTTTTTAATAATAAATTCCAAAATTGCAAATCATAAATATTCTTTTTTTATTAAACACGCGGTAGTTTTTTTTTTTAAATAATTAGTATTAATTTGTATAGTACCCAATATTATAATTATGCTAATAAAGCTTTGTAACTTAAAATAATACTAGCTAGGGTTCATTTATATTTGAAATAAAAATTGGAGAAAAAAAATTAAGGTAAAAATATTGTTAAAAAAAAATCCGTTAATAGATGTTTTTATTTTCTGCAAACCACGAAAAAAGCTGTTAGCCAAGTTTTTTTTTACACACGAAGTTAAACTAAAATGTAATAAACTATCATATTATTATTATATTTACCGGAGTAACTAATAAACCATAATCAGGTTTCAAGTTGAATTTTTAAGAAAACTATTTTTATGAGAAATAAATAGTTGATGTTTATCACATTTTATTAATTTAGCATTTTACATAAAAAATTATCAAAAATAATTTAATAATACGGAAAACAATGCAGTTACATCTACAGAAAATTGGCTAGGCTAATTAATGGTTAACCTTACCAAACATTAAGTTGATTTGACTAAGTCTTGCCAAGTTGTTTTCTAGAATTTATATTTTTATTATTATATATTAATACTGGATAAATGTTTCAATGGTTTAGAATATTGTAAAATATTCTTACTGGATTTTAGTCCTAACCTGAAGCGGTGGAAAAAATGTTGGCTGTCCCCCAACTACGGGCGTCAAAGGATTGCTAGTATGATGCAATTGGTTCGATCACACTAAGTGTTAATATTTGTAGTTGTTTTTATTTTGATACAAAATCGTTCGGTGACTTGCCATTAAGCGTTTTTTAACGTTGATCATGCCTTACAATAATACTTGCGTTGCACTGCAGACATGCAGCTCAAGCCGGGATGGCCATTATGTAACACACACAATATTATTGTCGTGATGAAGGAGCTTTTTACATTTTAGTCATAACTTATAACTATGTGTGCGCCTATACTGGTTATCGAATAATACCAAACAAGGTGATCAATCACCGAGAGTTTTCTAATGTAGTGTACTATTATTTGTGCACGCTTGTCTCGTTGCAATATAGTCAATACAAGGGGATATAATAAAATTGGTATTTCGTGTCTGTCGATAATATTCGGAAGTGTCTGAAACCTTCGACCGCCGAAGTCGTGTTGTTAAATCACGAACCTCAATCGAGTAGACGGAGCAAAACACTAACATTATATATTAATAGATAGTCTGATCATCACATCATGATGGTAAGCTGTTGTAATTTAAATGCACTTGACGAAAACGCAGTCTGCCGCCAATAAGAATAACAATTATTATATTCGAACCTTGTAACCCACCAACGTGCAATCTACTTAGTGTCAGTGGATATTATAACGTGTTTTATTATAAATAATATACATACAATGCAAATAATTGCATTGTATTGCTTGACGCGTGCTATGAGCTAGTAAATTTTAGTTTAGCAAAAAATATAAAACGGATAAAGAAGCATTTGTCTTCGCCGCGTTTCTTCGATTAATCTTTCACCGCCCTCCGGTCTGACGATGATTTCGAGACAAAGTCATTGTTGCCGGCCAATGTCGGAACCGAGATACACAATTATTATTGTTTTATTATATTATTATTATATAGTTGGTGGTTGCACGTGCCTTATTGTTTTAAACAAATGCACACGGTCTGTTCGGATTCGCTGCACCGCGCCAATGACATCATCAACCGAAGCACAGACAGAAGTTCTATCAGAACAATAACAGTACATGCAAAAAAATTGATCACACGCTTTGTACACACACTGATTTCGTTAATGAAAATAATGTAATACAACATACAACACTGCTACGGTCGACAATATAATAACCGGATGACCGTGAAAAAGCGTTTAGCTATATTATAAGGCAAAAGCCGTTTTTCCCCTTTAAAATAAAAACATCAATGGTCTACTTTATTCATCAATCACCTGTGATTGGTAAAAATTTCATAGTTGCAATTTTTTTAAGACTTAGTAATAAGAACAATAGTCTTGAAGGGACTTTTTTAGATTCAACAATTATATTTTAATTTTTATGCAACCGACAGGCAACGGTGCAGTGTGGACGCAATATGTTTATAATAGAGCTAAATATAATCTTAGACTTACTTGTCGAAACACATTATAGTGTACCATTCACACAGCAATTAAAAAATATTAATTGGTAATAAAATATAACGTTAAAGTTTTCACATCAGAACTAGTCTGTTTTTGTGTGTAATGTATATTATATATAGTTATAGTACTTAATATGAAAGCTTTCGATGGGCTGATGCAGCTGTTGTTAAACAAACGCTACATCATACACAAAGCACTGTGACCATTAACCGCCAAGTACACGGATGCATTTTTAAAATTTTATCTTGTGTATAATTGAATCTCTAAATAATGTATCCTCGTTTGGACTGCAATACTGGTGCACTGTAAACCATGAAACGTTAGGCCATCTGGTACGGTTTAATAAATTCTGAGAAGCCCATGCACTTAAACGGTAGGACATTGTAACAACGGTTATTATGTCTTGATAGCCAGTAACAAATTATGCTTTGTTCAACTCGCGAAAATGTTTTTTTAATAAACTTATATGTGCGTTACACGTTTAAAAAACGTGCTTACGTGCTACGCCGAGCCCGTTTAATAACGCTGGACAGGGCGAGACTTCGTTGATGTGTTTTAATATTTTCTAATTGAACCCTTGAGTCAAAGTTAGAGTCTGGACACTAACAAATAATACTATAAATAAAAGAACAGTATAAAACCATTCAAGAATTAAATGTCAATAACTCTGCGCTTCCATATTGTACACCATTTGACTTATGTATTTTATACTTTTACAATTTTTTAAAAATGTAGTACTTGTTAAATATTTTTTAAAATTTTTAATCTCAACATTAAACGAACGTGTTTGTACAGTTTTTAACGAGGTATAATTTTTGAAAATAAGGGTAGTATTTTTTCAAATGCGTAAAACTTAGCTGAACTATTGACAAACAATAAGTAACAAGAAATGATTTTTTTTATATATATAATAAAAAAATGAAATATAAAATTGTGTAGTCGACTTAAAAAATAATATTTTTGACTGGAATTTGAGTTAAGTCAGCTTTCATTTAGTCGTTAACTAAATACTTGTTTGGGAACTATAATCGGTATTGTCTTTAAACAAGAGGTAAAATTACATTTTTGATATACGATGATGCGTGTACAAAATCTTTAACAAAACGTTACAAAATAATCACGTACTTGAATATTATCGTCGCTGACACTGTAATAGGTATTATCTCGTTCATTTCATATAAAAAACACGGTTGTTCTCGTAAAAAATGCATACGTGTGTAATGTTATTTAAAAGGAAATGTGAATCATTTTATTATTAATGAAATATATTTTTGTTTTATTTTGTAAATAAGAACTTCGTGTGCGATGTGAGGTAACAAAAAAAAAAGTAAAACAAATTAAAGCGGCTTATCGCACGTTGATGATTTGAAAACAAAAGGATAACATATACAATAATAATAATAATAATATTATCTAAAAGGCCTCCCAGCTAGGATCGAGAATAATATTTTAATTCAATAATTCATTTTATAGGTATCATCATTGTGCCCGTATGACTGATACACACCACACTCGGTATACAATACTATTATTTCTTGCCTTGGTGTAACATTTGTACATGCTATTCATAGATTTAATAACTATAATGCTATCAAGGTTTCGATAAACGTGGACACAGCTAACAGACGTCAACGAATGACTAATTGCTAAAGCTTTATGCAAACCTTTATGCTTAACCCCAGGAGCTCAATTACATTTTTTTTATCCCTTGACAATCATAATATGAAATAAAATCATGAGTCATAATTTAATAGAGATCTTCACAATTTTCTAAAATAAAAACAAAATGCATTGTTAAATCCAAATGAGCTTCGACAGAGATGGGTTAGGTATTAGTCATTATTCTCGGGGCTACGAGCACAGAATAATTTTGCTACACTTGCGTTGAAAGTAAAATATTTTTAGTCTAGGACATTAATATATATTTTGTGTTATTAATGAAGGCGCAGTGGTTTTCAGACGTTGATGTATATTCGTAGCTACTTCTCAATCCTTATAGGCCTGTGTATTAATATCCCATTCATCCTGACGAATTATAATTGAATATAATAACAGGAGCGGTCTTTGGCCATTTTTTCTAATGAAAAAAATGATACCGGATCATATTTAATTTATAGGCCGCCGTTCGCCTAAATACGGTTGAAAACGTGTCGCAATTATTAATTTACCACAGAGCTCCATAATTGGTTTTGATTCAAAGTATATCATAAATTACAATATTATAGCCTAGAGTTTAAAATGCGCAGACAGCGTGTACTAGGTAGTCTTGCTGCATTAACACTGGATATGTGATATTCCGCAACGCTGAAATGAATATAATCAAAACCTGGTGTTTTTTTGAAATTATCGAAGCATAAAAAATATCCAATATAATTTCCAGAGTTCTTTTCGGATGCTAAAGTGCTTAAGCCATGGTTTATTTCAGATTCCGTGTAGGCTGTTCTACGATTGATAAAAAATAATCCGACTACAAAAAAAAAAAAAAAGTCGAGTTTAATACATGTTTTAATTTAGCATTGTACTAATTTTCGATGCAATTTGTCTACGTGTGATCCGAAGGCGCGGTTCACTAGAAATTAGAATCCACGATCGTTAATCGATCAACGTCTCCTGTTTTCGTTGTAAAAGGCACCGTCGATACAGTATAGATTTTACCGCTTAATTCCTAACATAGGCCGTTCGGTTCAAAATGTAGATGTACCGAAGACGAATCGTGCGTTTTTGGCGACCCCTGGAAAATTTGACTTTCTTGCCGTCGCGTCTAGTAAATGATTATTAACGTGTTCGGTGTTTAACATTTTTTTTATTTTTTACAGACCGGTCACATCCGAACGGCTGCCGGTGACTATTTCATCGAACCCGCTGAGACCGCCAACGACCACGTGACTCCCGTTCTACACGTCATTTACAAGACACGTTCGCCGACCACCGTTACCGAGAGTGGCAACGGTCCACCGCAAGAACGGTCGCATCAATCGTCACATCAGCCGGAACCGAACTGTGGAGTACAAGGTGGGACGGGTTATCATAGATTTCTGTTATTTTTATTATTATCGTTATTCGTTTGGCTCCACTCGGATGCGTTTAAGAACATCAACGGGTAAGATCAGAATTTATTGGACTTTGTCGTAACGTTAGATCGGATGGGGAGCGATTACGGTATCCGTCTATATCATCAATTACACCACTAAATTTATTTCACACACTTTTGGCCAAGCTCCGTCGACCATCGTACAGTCGGGGTGTATACAACGAGCCTGTGATATCCCTAACTGTAGCGCATGCGGTTAACGACCGTATCTTAAATTCTTGGATCTGGAACATATTATTATAGCATTCAAAGCGCATAACATTATGCAAAGTCGAGACGTCTGCGAGTCTCACGACGTATGGGCATTTAGGAGTGGGCAGAGATAATAGTAATTGCCGGCGTGTGCAAGACAACCACTAGAATGAACGACCGATAACAATAAGACTGGTCGACTTTAAGACGGGTCCTATACATGATTAACACACATATCATTACAACCAATGTATTTTCAAAGTCCATTAGCGAGGGATTTGCGTTTTCCGACAGCGGTGTTACTTATATGGCACGACCATTGTTGCGTGCGCCTTTACAACAATAATAATTATCCTTTAACTCGCATTATATGATAGGTACCATAATATGCACCATTGAGAAATGCACAGTTTGTTAAGTAATGCATTCCTGTTTCACGTTTCGTTGTCCCACGCGTCCGCCGCCGCCGCCGGTCACCTCAAGAGAGAAAACAAACGTCTTCGAATGTCCGCACGTAAATTTGTGAAGTATTAAGACTGTTGGGCAGCCCCGCTGTGTCCGAAAATAAGCGTTTAAAAACTCAATACGTGCCTAAGTCGAATTACAACTAAAATAACTTTTCTCGCTGCCCACGTAATAGGGAGAACGTCTTTGGCTATGATGGATTAGGATATCGATATTCAAATGACTATTGTGTCCGTTGCGCTTTAGGCATCGAATTCGAATCGGCCTCATCATATAGGACGTATCGACACTAGATATTTATTCCGAGTTCGTTCAGACTCCCTATGTGAGAATGCAATCGTTATAATGTGCATCAAACTGCGCTTCGGATATTTTTTAAATAAATAGCCGATTCGTTTAACTAATACATGATTTACAACGACATCCGATACATAATAAATATAGAGACTTTCAAAACTACATAGGGAATATTAATTTAATCATTATTCTTATTATCGAGGTGGATTGCGTCTTTGTAATAGGAGTATGCAAATTACCTACTTTTTATCTTAAGAGAACGTTTTACCCTCAAATTTCTAGTGTAAAATCTACGACCGCAGAATGCATTCTATTCGCCCCATGATGATTTTAGAGCAAAATCAGCCATGATAAAAATAAAAGAACATACAATTTTGGAGATAATGACATAAATATGTTTTTTCAAAATATTTCTTAAGAAAAAAGTTATTACCGTTTAAAAAAAGTTAAATATATTTTTTTTAACATTAAGAATCTAGCTAAATAATGAACATATAGCATAGAGCGGTCGTGAAGGTCACAAGTTTTATGAACTATTAACGAGTGATGAAATCAGTCTCATAAAAAAAAAGCTTCGATGCGAATCTGTAAATCAAATATGTATCGATAAAAATTAATGTAAAGCAGATAATTTTATCTCTAGTATTAGCGTGGTACGATCATGGCTGATCGTGTTTCTATAACAATTTGCTGTCATTATTTATACATAGTAATCAACAATATAATGAAAGCTTTTCGAGTTATCTGTTGATTCATTCCCTCGTAGCAATCTGGAAATGTATTACGACACGAGTGTGATTTTTTTCCTTTAAATTTTTTGGTTTTTCCTTAATGGAAAAGTAAGTTTTTCTACAGATTTGTGAGAAAATCGTCTATGTAGCTCCACTCTAGATCTAGCAACAATCCAATTTACAGGCTAAAATCACAAAACTATGTGTTTTTAAGATCAATGTCACGGATTTTGTAAACGTGAATTATATTTTTATTAGCAAAACTGCGATTGAATCTTATTTTTTTTTTGGAAGTGTACACAAGTCGGTATGAAATAACATTTATGTTCAGAGCTAATAGGATATGACCGATAAAATAAGTTACCTATTAAAGTATAATGAACATAACAAACAAAACGCTAGTGATTGAGATTTATTTGAGATTAAGTTAAAAGTTTTCTTCTAATTTTGTTTGTTTTTGGCATTTTAGATAACGAAGTTACCAGCGACTCGGATACTGTAATGGAGGAACTGCTGGTATCGGAGTCCGGCAGTATAGTGTCGAGTACCACGGGAATTCCGGGGTACACGCCAAAATCCCGAAAGAAGCGATCTCTGTCCTCGGAATACATAGTTGAGATAATGGTGGTGGCCGACAGAAAAATGGCAGACTATCATGGAAACGAACTTCACAACTACATACTCACCCTTATGTCGATAGTAAGACTGTTTGCAAATTAGCAGCCTCGTGAACCAACGAGCAGCCGTAATTGGAAAATTCTGCGTTTACAGGTGTCGAAGATTTACAAGGACAAGAGCATTGGCAATCCGATGCACATATCCGTAGTTAAGCTAGTCGTTCTACGAGACGTGAATCTCGTGGAGAACCGTAACCGCTTGGGAGGAATAGCGGCCGCTGATATGCTGAATAAGTTTTGCGAATGGCAATCATATCACAACGACGAGAGTGATACCAGTGACAACCACCATGACACAGCGTTACTGTTGACCAGGTACGACAATACACCTAGTTGACATGAGACAATATCGCTACAGAGTACAGAAATTGGGTTTTCCAATTGGTATTAGATAAATCGCACGGTGTCAACGCACACTTTTCACCAAAGTCATCCATCGTAGGCGAATAGACTATACAATATTGTCGGTAAAATTATATTATGAGATGATAGATCGATGTGGCGAGATCACGTCGACGGGGTCATAGATTTATGACAGCTCGATACTCCTTGCCCGTTTGTACGGAGAGATGCAATCGAAACCGATCGTTTATCTACGCATAATATTATGTTCTAGCGTGAGATATTTCACGTTTTGTATCATACATCCATTCTGTCTATTGATTTCGTTTAATGTTTATAAATGGATACCGCAATTATAGATCGATTAATAACGATAGACATTTGATACGATTGTATAATTTTGATTATCACATCACGTTCTGATGTGTTCATATAAATATTGAACATTCGTTGTTTTTTTATACGTAAAATGTTTCAAAATAAAAGTCAATGGCAGGCTGTTAATAGACTTTGTTGTGAAATCTATTGTAACTCATGAAACAGCCTATCAACTATAGATTTATCAATTGGTCGATACAAGTACGGACATTTTTATATGCTAAACAAATTTACTATTTGTGGGAAAACATACGAGATTCGTTAATATTTGTTTCTTACAACGTTACTCAAGTTATCCTATAATTTGCATCGGTGTACATGTTGATATTGTTATATTACTTTTCCCCAGAGAACACGTCTGCCGAAACCACAACCAAAAAAAATGCGATAACACGCTGGGACTGGCCCAAGTAGGCTATATGTGTAAACCCAACAGTTGTGCCATTGTACAAGATAACGGTCTAAGCGCCGCGTTTACCATAGCTCATGAGCTAGGACACGTGTAAGTACAACTCAAAAAACGTTCTAATTTTTTTTTTTTTGCATAAGAGTCAAAAATAATATAAGTATACTCTTTTGGTACGCAAAATCTTAATTACTTTGATTTAGGTGTACGTAAAATGCCATATTCGTAATGCTTACAATAGTGGCACATGTTTGTACTTGTACCATTCTGACGAAGAAAGAGAGTGAACGTGATAGAGCCCTACAATTTGTTTATTAGGAAATAATCATTTTATTTATACCTACATAATATTATGGATACAGCTATAAAAATATTAACATCTTCCTAATCTGAATTATTTTTGGGTGACTAATTAACATTGATGTTTGACGTGGTCGTGGTGTTTAGATTGAGCATGCCTCATGACGACGACGACAAGTGCAAGGATTACGGCCAATTAGATGAAGTACATCACGTCATGTCTAGAATGTTGGGCAACAACTCTCATCCTTGGACGTGGTCCGCTTGCAGTAGACATTTCTTGACGGAGTACTTGGAGTGAGAACCCGTTTCGAAATAAATACAGTAAATGTTAAGTCTAATTTTTTTTTTTTAATAGCTCTGGCAACGGAAAATGCCTTCAGGACGACGCAACTAAGGACTATCTCGAGAACGATGGACAACTCAATGATAGGTACTTACCCGGCGAGAATTATACCGAAGACAAACAATGTGAATTGCTATACGGTCCTGGATCGAAAATTTGTTCATATATGGTAAATAGTAAAGATACCTATTATTTCTTAGCTATTTGTAACAATGAAAACTTTACTTATTAAATGGCCGTTTAGCCGGTTTGCCAACGGTTATGGTGTACTACTGGACCGGGCGAGAAAGACGGATGTCGAACGTTCCACATGCCTTGGGCAGAAGGGACTCAGTGCTGGAACAGCAAGAATTGGTGTCAACAGGGAAAATGTGTGATAAAGGACCGAAATGCACTGAAACCCGTCGATGGCGAGTGGGGAAATTGGCAGCCGTAAGTACAGTTTAGTAACACTAAAATATATTGTAGTGAATGATATTAAAAACAATGCAATCTACACATGCTGCTAACTTTTTTAGATAAAATAAGTAAGCAGTGAAAATGCGCGATAAAAGTTAAATGATTGTTATAGTAGGTAAAATAGAAATATGAATATTTTGGAGAAATGTTTAAATAGGAAAATAGAAATGCCGATAAAAAAAATAAAGTCATAGCTCAATATTTTAGTTTTTTGTACTGCAACTTGCAAGAGTAAACTTCTCAACATAAAATTGCCTGGGGCATTTATAAGTTAAGATTTTAGAGGTAGTTAACCATTTTATAACAAGCAATACATTTAAAAATCATTCGATTATTCAATTATTTTTTATATCTACTACTAATCATTTGATAAATGTTTTTTTGACAAACCAAAGTTCTAGTCGTTGATATTTTTTTAAAAAATTGCGCCTAAACATCTTAAACTTAAAATGACTTGGCTAATTTGATTAAAATCAGATTTGGCGAATGCACCAGAACATGTGGCGGAGGCGTGCAAAAAAGTTACAGGGGCTGTGACAACCCACCACCGTCAAACGGCGGAAGGTATTGCGTTGGAAAACGGGTAAAAGTTCGAAGTTGTAACACTAGAGACTGTCCCCCAGACGCCCCGGACTTCAGGTGAGTGAATGTTGTTTAGGTAATAAAGGTAATATTATAAAGGTTTATAAATATTAATTTGTTAATTATTCGCTACTAGAGCTGAACAGTGCTCGAAGTTCAACAACGATACATTCAACCTTCCGGACCTCAAGACCAACGTGCAGTGGCTACCGAAATATGGAGGATGTGAGTATATTTGGTTGTTATTCGATAGCATTCTACCTAGTGTCGTAGTGCTTTGTTAACGACATGTCTTCCTTAAAAAAAATAAGTGAGGAGGCCCGAGGTGTAACTGTTGTTTCTTATACCCATCTATCCCACGTCAGACATATTTTATTGTGTTGTAGCCCAAATCGACTTTACTGGCGAAAGTGAGGGGGGAAGGGGGGGTTACGCTGACGATCAATGGACGATCTGATGTATTTTGCTTATGTCTGTTGTAGACGCAGACGAACGGTGCAAACTATTCTGCCGCGTTGCAGTTTCTGCGGCTTACTATAAATTGAAGGATAAAGTTTTGGACGGCACTCCTTGCTCACCGGACAGCTACGACATTTGCGTGAACGGGATGTGTGAAAAAGCCGGGTGCGATCACGTGTTGGGTTCGAACAGTCAGCTGGACTTGTGTGGCGTGTGCGGCGGCAACAACTCCAGTTGCGAACAAGTGACGGGATCGCATAACAGCTCACAGCAAGGATACTCAAAAGTGCTCAGAATACCCGCCGGATCGTCCAACTTAGATATACGCCAGCACGGCTATCACGGGTCCAGTAAGGACGATAATTACCTGGCTTTGATGGACAGCACCACCGGCGAGTACATACTTAACGGTAATTACGTGTTGAGCATGTTCAGCAAAGTGATATTTTACGGTGGTACGGCCATCGAGTACAGCGGATCCGACGCGCCCGTCGAACGGATCAACTCGTCAAGACCGTTGAACAAAGACGTTACAGTTGAGGTAATTATTGTTACCAAAAAAAAAAAAAAAAAAATACCTTCTCGCTTTGCATCGAAGCTAAAATGAATAAATCTATAACATTTCCTACTTCTCCAATAATGCCGTTTGACGTTTATTATAATAATTCAAAGAATTTTATTTAAATACATACTCTGTATTACAAAGGATACAAGAGCCGAACTAGCATTAATTTTATCTAACCAGGAATAAATATACCTGGATCCAGGTACTCAACCTAATTCTCGAGTTGTTTAGCTGTATTTCTTCCCCATTTGTAATACTCGTAGGTACTAGACGTAGGCAGTCTTGACTCCTGTCTCGTTGAATATCTTTATTTACGTTATTATTTATCCGCAGTTGCTGTCAATGGGAAACTTGTACGCTCCGGATATTGTGTACCAGTACACTGTGATACGGGAAGACCGAGATCTGTACGTGTGGGCGCTAACCGACGAATGGGGACCGTGCGACCAAATTTGCTCCGGTAAACGCCATTATCTCACGTATAAGTGATATTTACCATATAATATGGTATCTATGCAAAGAGCATCCATGCTAAAACTAAGAGCTTTCAATGACTAGGTATCTGGTATAGTCGATCTAATTCTGGTTAATTTCAGTAGTTCAGACATAAAACATAACAAATTTAGTACGCACATTGTATTAGTGTTGATTAGACGCCAAGCTTGTCTTTGTCTCGTGAGAAGCAAGCTGCTCAAGGAACCACTGGGAACTTTCTACCACATAAATCATATTTTATTCATATCTTGACTTATTGTCAGTTAAAACCAAGATAAATCCGAATTAACATAGAATACCTTTATAAACATGTTTTGAATAAATACGAGTATGTTGGGAAGCGGTATTTTTTTTTTTTTTATTCGACTTTATAACCACATTTACTTAGCAAAACTTATAAATGATCGAATTAATCAACTAGAGCGAACACTCATACATGTATTTATATAATTATTATATTTTTTGTATTTATAGTTATAAACGAAATATCTATGATAACAGTTATTTTTGTCAAATAAAGCTCATTATAAATACAGCATTTTTTAGGTGAACAGTCAAGAGTCTATGTTTGTATTAAAAAAGATACGGGCGAAGAAGCCCGAGGGTACTGCAGTGACCGGGATGCACCTCGTTCGCAAAAGCAGCCATGCAATCTTCATTGCAAACTGAAGTAAAACACGTTTTAAATACCATCACACTTGAATTATAATTTAACTATAATGTATATCAGTATATAGTATACAGAGTAGCAAGATTCGTTACGCAAACAACGTTATAATATAATATCCATATATTTACATACGTTTAAAAATAATATACTACATGTATATAGTGAATAAAGCAATTTATTTTATAATATCTTTCTTTTCCTATTTCAATTAACATTAAATAATGGTTTTCAGATGGAAAATTATTAGCCATTCCGAATGTTCGGCGCAATGTGGCCCAGGCACGCGTACTCAAAGCTCGGCTTGCTTCCAAGAGACCCACAAACGAGCACCGACCCAACTTCCTGACATAATGTGTTCTCACATGCCAAAGCCAGCCAGCAGCATTCCTTGCACCGGGCTATGCTTGAAATCTCGGTGGAAGTTTACCGAATGGTCTCCGGTAAGTACAATAGCCGTTGCGCACTGAGTATCATCGACACCCATACCATACATTTTTGTCATAATTTACTAACTAGTGCATGCAATAGGTAAAGGTCAGGCCTAAACATCTCGGTCCTCTGACTTTACAAGAATGCGACGATATAGATAAATTAATATAATAACAGGTCTTATGAGTTATGGCTTATTACAGTATTCTAACTAGGTTAGTTTTTTGTTAAAAAACAATAAAAACAATTTGTAGAGGCACTTACTAGTATGGTTACCGAGGCGTATCGTACACTATTTATTACAATTAAAAACAACAACCACCGAATTTCAACTGTTTTTAATGATCTACTTGTAACTCTAGTTATCACATGCAGGTATTATTCTATAAATAGGAAATCATAACTTTCTCCAAATCATAAAAATTCGGGGTATTTAATATAATAGATAACTTTAAAGATAGGTTAAAAATTAATTAGGGTTATAATTTAGACTAGAATATTAGAATTAGATTATCGTAATACAATAAATACAGCGAACGAAAGTAATCATACAGCATACATCTGAGAATTGGTTTATTAAAATACTAATTCGAATATAAAGAACATAAGTACCAGAAAATAGTGAAAGAAAAAGGCATTTATATAATTTATTATTATAGAAAAAATACTGCGTTTAACTATTAAATATTTGTGTAGACGCCAACGTATTTCGGAGAAGTAATTAAATATATTTACAGTTTTAAAATAATTTTATATAATTAATTAGAAAATAACTAGAAGAGATATAATTAAAATATATTATAATTTATAACATAAAAATTCATAATTGACAGAGCCTACAACAGTCAACATATGTTGGCAACACATGATGTAAACGATAAGTGGCAAGATAAATCATTGGTTTCCCCATTTGCTTACTTTAATGACTATATTTTAGAAACTTTTTAAAGTTGTTTTTTTATTGCAAGTTGTCTGGAAAAATTAGTATTAATTAAAATACATTTCCTAGCTCATTATTATACATACATTTATAATTATTATGTCAAATTCCAATTACTTAGATAGCACCGTTTGTTAATTCTTAGCGTAAATAGGTTAATTTTGACACAGTCTCTGGAAATTGACTGCATGTTACACCACTGAACGACTATAATATTACGATCTATGTTATTAGTGTTCGAAGACTTGCGGGACTGGTGTACAACACAGGGAGGCGAGTTGCGTCAACGATAACGGAGACAGCAGGGATGAAGCTTTGTGCAATGTCAACGACAAGATAGTTTCTAGAGCTTGTGCCATCGACAAATGCCCTCAGTGGTCCGTGGGCGAGTGGTCAGCGGTAAGATCGTTTTGGCAATCGGCTTGCGTGATATGTTTTGGTCCGTGTTGATTGAAAACCAATAAGGTACTTGTTTTTACAGTGTTCTGTAAGTTGCGGGGAAGGACAAATGGAAAGGTCGGTGTGGTGTCGCGCTGACGGTGGTAGAGTGTTGTCATCCGAATATTGCGATTCTAACGTACCGGCCCGAAAGGATTCGTGCACGATGCCGATCTGTCCAGCATGGACCACGGGACTCTGGTCACCGGTGAGTACCACTTTAAATAGCCCGTCCACATTGTCTTGGAATTTTACAAACATCAAGCGTTTTTGGTCCAAAACCAAAACGCTGCCTGTTCTAAATAAAACAAAACAACAATCTTAAACGTAACGGACGCTCAAGGGTTAAGATGTAGTGCACACGTTATTAACCTGTGCATGATGTAGATGTAGGGGATCTTGTTAAGTATACTTCAATCGTCGTTTGGTCGAGCAATCTAACTACTAGCTATCAGAACTCCGGTGTTTTTTTTTTTTTTCAATGTCAATTGACCATATTTACAGTGTTCGGTGACTTGTGGGGCAGGCATAGTCCGACGGATAGTCAAATGTAACGTGCCGGATCATTCGGCTTGTGCGTTCATGCCCAAACCGCCTGAAGAGGAGAAATGCATGCTACACACTTGTCCGGTTTTGGCGGCGGACGACGAAAGACGCGAGAACGAAATACTTGGAAACTCGGCCGAATACGATTCGAATTCCATTCAGAGCAGCAACAAACTGTACTCGTGGCGAACTGACCGATGGTCAAGTGTAAGTAATAATGTAGCAGCCATTTTTGACTGTTCGGAGTGGTTGTGGGTAATTTTTTTAGTGGGAATATCTGTGGGCATTACTTAGACTCCAGATAGTTTTATAATATTGTTTTCGATGGGTTAAGTTACCCTCAATCCGAAAGCGGTAACCCAATTGACGAGGCTTTGTTCTTTTAGTGTTCTGCTTCATGTGGCAACGGTTACCGGAGACGACCTTTGGACTGCGTGAACACGGTCACCGGCAAACCGGTCAGCTGGTCAATGTGCAAGGTCAGGAATCAGCCGAAACGCATAGAAGTATGCGTCGCTCCGATGTGCGTGACTTGGCACGCGGACGCTTGGAAGGGATGTTCGACCGAGTGCGGCCAAGTCAGTGTCTCGTCCCTCACATCCAAAAAAAAAAGGCTTTTTAAAATTTAACTCCTCTACTTGATTTATCTAGGGTTACGAAGAGCGTGACGTCACGTGCGTGTCTTCCGTGAGTGGAAAATTAGTGGACGAGACCCACTGCGTGGTGCACAAGGAAAAGCCCGAGTCCCGGAGGCAATGCGAAAGCCACAAGAGTTGTAAGCCGGCCGCGAAATGGAGAACCGGACAATGGGGTGAAGTAGGTATCGATGACCTGTTGGTCGGTTGCAGCGTTAACAACCGAATTTCACACGTTCATTTCAGTGTTCCAAAGAATGTGGAAAAGGTGTCAAGGAAAGAAAAGTGGTATGTCAGCCTTCCGATGACAACGACGAAATGTCCGACGAAGAACTGTGTTCTGAACTCAAACCCGAGTCCAGGGCTTCTTGTAACGAGCATCCGTGCGAGACTCAACAACCGTATATCTCTTGGAACTATGGCGAATGGTCTAAGGTGTGTTTCATTCTACTTTCATTTGAGTAAATTACTAATTTTTCATACTTTTTTCGACTGTGGTGTACGCGTTCGTTGTACAATTTCTATAGGCTCAAGTACACATTTCATCTACATTCTAAAATTTAACCAGAAATATGTAGAACTGTATTCACCCGCCAAAGCTTTCATTCATTTTAATTATATCATCTCATTTTGATGTTTCGTTCACCACTTATCGAATCATTTTATCATTTCATTAGTTTAGAAAACAATAAACGCCTTGTAACAACCCCCTCGTTAGTTATGGGGAAGCTCAAAAAAGGTGTACTGAATAGTACTGAAAATTACATTATAATAATACAAATACTGAGAGCTGATTTAGTTTATTTTTTCGACAAAGTAAAGAAATTAATATTTAAACCATTTACCATAAAAATAATAAACTTCAGTGCTAACAACAGACTCGAGTCTTGAGTTTTTATGGTTAAGGGTTTAAATATTAATTTATTTTTTCTATATATTACCATAGTCCATAAGTTGCTTGAAGTTTTTTTCTTGATTTCCGACAAAAGACTATTATTTTAACTTTAGATAATTAAAATGTTTTATTATTGAGTTACTTAATGATAATACGCATCGTAAGCATACACCTGTAAGATCTTGACAATAAGATACTTTTTTTGTAGGCACTATAGTCTTTATGTTAGGATATTTCTGAAACATAAAAATAATAAATGTATTGTTATTAAAAAATTTAAGAGAGAAAGAAACGGAAAACGAAAAAAAAAATTTATAGTTTTATCTGAAACTGAAGACGAAACTTAATCAAAATAAGTACCAGAGTTTTATCTATGAGCAATTGAACTATTGAAGTAGATTTAAACCAATTACACGTTTAATTATGTACCTATTGTTTTTATTATTTTTGTTATTGAATGTTATAAGTAAATAAAAATATACAATTATTTAGACAAGGCGTATTATTTTCCAATAATCTGATTAATCACCACTGCGTAAGTAAGTAAGAAAACGAAACCAAAATTTCAATCTATTTTGTTCTGTGTAATTGTTTGTATTTTTTTTATTTCAAACGAATAATTATCAAGTCTTTCTTCATTTTAAATTTTAATCGTCTAATACATTTCGTTTTATTGTGGATATTTTACCTTCGTCAGCAGTATTAGTATTGTAATCGTTTTGCCTAACGCCATAGACGATTTGTTTTCTTCGATTTTTAGCTGGCTTGACAGCTTACTAACTCTTATCATATTCAAATCAGTCACCGCTTTCCTATAGCGACGATTATCTACCAACCGAATTACTCTGTTCGCTTTATCGTGCCGCCATATTATCAACTTAAATTTATAAATGTGAAATTTCAGTGTAACGTGACTTGCGGCAAAGGATACCAGAACCGACAGGTCAGGTGCCAGAACACCGACGGCGTGCTGCTGTCGGCCGACCACTGTGAGGGCCTGAAGAAGCCGGAAACCACGCAACCGTGCCGGGCGTTCGTGCCGTGTGCCAAGACGTCGGCGGTAGGAACCGGCCCGGGGTTGCAGTACAAGTGGCGGACGTCACAGTGGTCATCGTGCTCGGCGACGTGCGGTCAAGGCGTGCAAAACAGGCGGGTGAGTTGCCGGTACGCGTATAAGAACGGGTGGAGAGACGCGGTCAATGAGACGGAATGCGACGCGGTGGGCAAGCCGCCAGCCGCGCAAAAACCATGCAATCTGCGTGCTTGTTTGGCCCCGTCCAACTACAATTGGCTGCCCGACGAGTGGCGCGAGTGTTCGCACACCTGCGGGAAAAAGGGCCGGCAGACCCGGCGGGTGTATTGCGTGGATAAGGCGTCGTCCAAAAAGGCGCGCCGGAAGTACTGCGATTGGAGCGTGCGGCCCCCCCGGAAACGCAAGTGCAATCAAAGACGTTGCGCAGGTTTCGCTACGTGCGCCGATGTCCTGCACAAACTGCCAGCGTCCGTCGACAAGGAGTACATACTGACCGTGTTGGGCCGAAACGTGTCCATCTACTGTTACTCGATGGATTCCGGAAAGCCAACTGAATATCTTACGTTGCCCAAAGACAATGAAAACTATTCCGAAATATATGAGAAGAGGTAAACAAAAATATTTTAACAATAAATAATTAACTGAAACGGCGGTAGAGCCTAATATCGAAGTGTACACACGAAATGTAAACATTACAAAGTTTAATTTACCAATCACATATCTGATATCCCTATTACTAATGTTTAAAAGATCACTTAATTTTCAGAATTAACGAATCTCGTCAGACGCTAAGCAACTATTGTACACGCAACTTGTGATATTTAACATAGGTTTTATGACAACTTATTTCGGTTATCAATGTTAGCGTAGTAGAACTATTGGGTATTCAATTGTTCATCTCGTCTGGGGCTTCAAAATCAAGTCTGATTCTGTCGGCTATTTCAGTGTTCACTATGATGCGAATACACTATACATTATGTTATACACCTTTTATTATGTTATTCACACAAAACAATAGCTTAATGTTAATGTTCTTACCAACCCCGCAGGCTCAAAGATCCGAGTACTTGCCCGTTTAATGGCGAACGACGACAAAGCTGCCCGTGCGACAGTACGCCCTTGCCGTCTTCGGGACTAACCGTGTTCCACAAAATCCGGTTGAACGTGACTACACTGAGAGTCGATCGTGAGTAACTACATACAACCATTGTGGGCATTATTTGAATACAATCATTGACGGTAATAAAACAAAATTACATTTGTATAATATTTACAGCCAAGGATTACACATTTTCGAGGCAAATCAAAGGTAAACTCATACCTTTCGGCGAGGCCGGTGACTGCTACAGCAATTCCAAAAGTGGATGTCCTCAGGGCAGGTTCAGCATCGACTTGACCGGCACAGGAATGAGAGTTTCTCACGGTACCACGTGGATAGGAAAAGGGTCGAACACGTCGTTCTGGGTGAATAAGATCGAGGTAACCGCTTGAACAGTCTACATAACGAGTCAAGTTATTACTAATTGTTTTATGAAAAACCATCGTTAGTGTTTTTTTTTCCATTACACTATCCTTGCAAAACACGGTCTCCTTTTTTTTTTTGAACTTGAACTTATATGTGATAACTAAACTAATTTTATTCGCAGGGAAACACAAAAATAGCCGGCAGATGTGGCGGCTACTGCGGCAAGTGCGCCCCGGACCAAGGGTTGACTTTGGACGTGGTAACGCCGTAGTAATATAGTTATGCCATCATCGAGTTAGGTCTGACTACAGTATTATTGTAGAGCGCTAAACAAGCGACTACAACAAATGAAACTCTATTTAACGCGTCGCGGTTGTAGAGATGGGTCGGTTACCGTAAACGCAGTCCCAAACTCGAAATAGGACTGACCACAACCCAAAAACTAGCAATTATTTTTTCATAATATAATTATGAGGTTGTATTATTTATAAAATTTAAAAAACTTGTATGTATTTGAAAAGACTTTAATACAATTTATTTTAACGCGCAATCCCGCGTCCCTCACGGCAAATAAAATTGTTTCAACTATGTTTTGCTTTAATCAGATATTAAAATGTTTAGTCAACTAATCGAAATGTTCTCAAAACATTAAGATAAAACACTTTAAATTATTTGTCAACCAATGATGATTAGACGTTTCAAAAATATTTTTTTTAAATATTACATCGTTATAACTATTAATAAAAATATACTTTAAATTAATTATAACATCTATATTTTTTAAATGTTTGGACGCCATATTTGATTATTGACCGATGAAAAACTAAATATTTACTGTATTATTTCTCTTAAACATTTAAACCTCAAATATTTAACGGTTTTCATAAATATTTTCTACACATATATTAATTTATAAATCTGAAATATATATAAATGTGTACAAAAGAAAGTTAAGCGCTTATAAAATAAGTATAAAAATTAAATTCCTTTAAATAATATATAATTATTAATTTCAATTTTTGTTTAATATTATAACTAAATTTATATTGCTGTGTGGGAGTACAACAATAACATATTGTGATGATAATATAATATTGTTGTTATGCCTATTGTTTTTTTATTTTTGTTGTAAGCGGCTTGCGTTATTACTTTTTCTAGTTAATTATTTAAAAAACAAAATATAGTTTTCTTATAACTTTAAAAAGATAATAATTAATTAATTTGTATTTTTGACGATCACTGTACATTTATAAAACCATAATATCGTCTGTAACAAAAAAACGTATAAAGTCAACACACTAATATAGTAATCGTGTATATATCGGTAATGTAAACATTTGTTTAGTATTTTTATTGCATTTTATTATTATTAATTCGTATAATATAGTATTATCGACCTCGAGTTATTATTATTATTTTTGTTTAATGTTAGGTTTTACCTAATTGTACATAATATTATATATATATATATTTTTTTTTTACTCTTAAGCAATCATGCGCCAATTATATCTGCGTAGAGATGATTAAGGTGATACCTGTAATTTGTTGTCCGTTTTGGCATTTTTGTAAATTATAAATCAAAACGAGCCAAGAAGTAACACTATATTACTCGTCACTTATCGCAGATATTATGTTCATAATGGTGTTCCAAGCCAATATTCGTGTGTTCAGTTTTTATTTATTGATATTTTTTTTGTACATTTTTCGTATACTATATTTATTTATTTAGCTTTTGTTTATTAAAAATAATTATATTTTATTTGTATTTTTATTATTACCTATTATTTATTAAACGTGTTTAACCGTAAGCTATGAGTGTGCGCCTTAACTATAGAATAACAAACATATGATGTCTTTATACCTATACTTACCACCGACCAAGAGTTTGGATACCTACGCTATTAGACAAATTTATATAACTGTAAAACATTTTTTATTAAAATATAATTTTTGTTTTATATAATATTGTGCGCATAGGACACAATAAGGGGAAAAATCATTCTCAAAAACCCGAAGATTACATCTCAATAGAAATAAATTGTAAGTGTATCTAAATTATTGGCTAACAGTGTATGCTTTGTATAATCGTATACTGTACATACTGATAGGTATATTGTCAATTGTCAAAAAATAATTTTTTGTTGTTGATCTCTAGTCATGATAATTATTTGGTCATATTAATCAACACACACACTTAAATGTATCGACCCCGTTCATGCAAAACACATCCAAAATTGTAGTTTTGCACTTAATGACTTTTACATGTTAAGAATATTGTAAAATCGACTTAGTTAAAATTTCAAATTCTTTGTAAATTATTTTTATAAAATATAATCTATGACATTATCAGGAATTAACAAACTGTAGTATTTTTGTAGTGCTCTTAAAGGTATAAATAATCCAATACCCTTATATTTGGAATATTTATGAATAAACGGGTTTAATAAATTTCGACAATGTCAATTAATTTTCCAATAAATTTGTATAAGCTTTAAAGTATTATTTTTAATTTTTACAATTTTTTTATAGTAAAAGCCATTTTTGATTATATTTGACCTAGAGGCCTGAAAAAATTAAGCATACTTAGAATGACCAGATTTTAATTTAGTAAAGAGATTCGAGTTCTATGACTACTTTACTATGCTACGTAGGAAACAGATTTTCATTTAAAAGTTCAGTTTCTTGTAGTTAAATAAATTATATTAAAACAATAAAAAAAAAAATCTAAAATCCGTTAGCAAAAGAGTTAGTAGTAAATTCATATCTCTTTACAGAATTGAAATCAGACCATCCTATTTAGTCGAAATTTTGTCATGCTTTTTGGTCTAAAACGTAATAAAAACCGGCCGCTTTCAATCACATTTTGGCGTTTTTTGCTAAAATTGCCAATTAATACTCGTATGTACCGTTAAAAATGACAATTATAAAAGTGAGCCAAAAAATTACGTATTAGCATATTATAGCTTTTACAACCGACAACTAAGTAGTATTTATACATTTTTTTGTTGAATAATTTGTATTAAATAATTTGTTGTTCTCTACGAGTCTTTCAATATAAATATACTTACCTAATGTTTAAAATAAAGCTATATAGTTATAATTTGTAATGGGTATTTGATTTCGTACACAGCCATACCTAAATAATTCGTAGTTATAATATATACATATATATTTTTTCAATTATAATATATAGTGTAGTTAAATATAATTATAATTGAACCCCTCTAATATAAAATGAATACGGTGCCCTTTAAATATTAAAATTGAATATTATAGGCCCTTTGTTATGTTTTCGGATTAGCCTATTCCCTTAAATCCGCCGTAGTACTACATTACGGTTTTTGTTTTTAACTAGGTATAAATTATACGGTATACCAGTAACTAGACGAAATATTATATATATGAATGGAGGCCGTAGCAGTTAGCATATTAAATAATGAGAACCAAGTTTAACATAAATAAAACATATTGTAACTAAAATAGGCTAGTAAAATGAAAATGGCAACTTCATGGTGTTTGAAAACAATTACGTATACTCACATTACCAACTGCAAACTTAATACGAGTCATATTTCATGTAAGGTTTTCAGTTTCTAGGTGAATTTGAGATTATAAAACCCTACAATTGTTCGTTTTTTATATTTCTTATTGTTCGTGTAAACTATACGTCATGCTCGAGACGAAACTCTAGAACGCTAACTATACAACAATTCGATGAGCACTCTTTCGTTCTACTCCTTACAGGATAATTGACAATTTAAAAATATAACGAAATAAAAATGATAAAATAAATGAAATAGAATTTTCATTAATTTTATAGAATATAAATATTTAAAAACGTTATGAAATTTACATAAAACTATATAGTTAACGCCTACTAAATTAATGTACACAACAAATATGTCATTTATTTATTGTTTGAATGGTTAAATAATCTATTTACTGATAACATTAGTACATGAGATTTCGTTTTATGTGTATAGTACATGAACTATAATTAAATAAACAAAAACGTATGTATTAGTTATCTCCTAATGAATTTACATAACTAGAAAAAAAAAGCTAGTTTATAAAAAACATATAAAAGTATTGATGTTGGAATTTTAACACTTCTCGTCGATAACACTGTATGCTCGACTGTTTGTTTAGAAACTCATACAAGGTCAAAACAACATTAAATAACAAAGAAGTTCTTATTGCATTTTAAAAAATTTAATATAATATTTTACAATGGAAAAAAATGTATTCTAATAAAAGGAATAATAATAATAAGTCAATATTCACATTGAAAAATGTATATATAATAAATATAACTATGAATACATAATATTTAATAAGATAAAATTATAGCTACAACAAAATACTTTAGATTGCTTTCGAATATAAATGTAAGACAGAAAAAATGATAATATTAGGGTAGGTAATAAACGGCATATAAGTAGAAACAAAAATAATAAAATATATATTTATATTTATAACTTAATAATAAATATCTATCTCGATGATTTTATGTTCTTTTTTCATTAATTAATTTAAATATATATAAATATACATGTGGTATATATTTGTTTTCATATGATCAAAGTGATTAATATTTTGACTCTCACTATTTCTCCAGCTGAAGAGAATGATGATCAAAATAGACAGCAAAGTTCCAGCAATTTAACTACTACTAGCAAGTACAATTATCCCCGCCAGACGATCTGTTATCTGTAGCGCCACTGCCCAGTTTTATTTGATCTGGAAAATCATTATACATCTCTATATCCGTCTCTTGGGCTAAAGCATTTCGTGCTATCGTTTTAAATGCTTGTTCAACATTGATTGCTTCTTTCGCTGAAGTCTCGAAATACGGTAAACCATTCTTACTCTGACACCACTGTTGAGCTCTTTTTGAGGATACCTTTAATGTTAAAAGGTTTATACGATTATTAAAATACGTTTTTAACATACTAGGCGATCATAAATTACTATAAAACAATACTTACAGCTCTATTCTCTAAATCGACTTTGTTGCCAAGAACGACAAACGGGAAATGGTCAGGATCTGAAGGCGATGCTTGTATTAAAAATTCATCTCGCCAACCATCTAACGACTTAAACGATCCCGGAGCTGTGACGTCGAATACTAACACACAACAATCGGCACCACGGTAAAATGCAACTCCTAACGATTGGAACCGTTCCTGACCGGCTGTGTCCCAAATCTAGAATTTTAACAAAGACATAATACTTGGTAGTAAAATACATTATTGTAAACTAAATTCAACAACCAAAAATGTTATTATTCCAGCCAATAGAAGTTTTTGTAAAGTTGGCCACAACCTGCTTTATTTGCAGGTGAACCATGTACATTGTAGTTCGAACAGAGTATACTGATAATGTGTGGCCTATAAGATGGACATTGTAGGCCGAAACAACTAATTGAAACACGAGTTGTTCGGTATTTATTCCGTGTTCAAACTACCTACGAGTACTAAATGTGTAAACTGAAAAGAAAACAATAGTATGTGTACAGTGGGTATTACGGTGCATGAACAAAATTGCTATCATTTTGTTTGAAAGAGGTCACTGAAAAATAAAAATAAAACAGTAGTATGTGGCCAGTTTAAAGAATTAATTAATTGTTCTGATAAATGAGTTAACTAAAAAAATATGACTGAATGAATATGATTTTTAACCGTAACTAAATGTAGCGTATGAATCAGATTTGTGCAATTCATACATTTGAACAACTATAATTTTAAATTTGTATATACATTTGAATTCAAATAAATTAATGAAATTAATGAGAAATATGATGAGAAAAATTCAATGAAAGCACAAGTAAAAATTCCCATATAAAACTAGTTAATTATAAATCAATAATGTGTGGTCAAAAGAATTTTAAAGGCTTGCATTATGATACATACGTAAATGGTGTTAAATTAAATTTGATTATTATAAATAAATATTTTTTAAAAATGTGTGTAAATTTGTTTATACCTAAAAATAATATAATTATTAAACATAATTTAAAAAATGAGTCCTTATCTTATCTTGTACAATACAAACAGAAAAAATGTGATAGCAATATGATATATAACAAAATTAAAACTAATGGAAATAAGAATATACCTAGATAATTAACTGGGAAAAAAATGAACTGTGAACTTAGGATAAAAACATACTTAGGAACATAAAAATTTAGTAGCTTCTCCACATATCAAGAGGATCCAAATGACTGATTTAATTTTAATGTAATTTTTCTAATACTTATCATTTTATTACAAATTACTCTATTAAAATAGTTAATTTTTAAATTGTAATAAAGGAGGGTTAGGTTAATAATATTAGTTATAACAGTAAATTAATTGATAAAATACCTATCAAGGAAGAACTATTTGATAGCTTAATTAAAAACGTAAGTACCTTTTTTGCTAATATATCTTTACTGATTAAGAATAGATAGGTTTTTTTTATGTTTCTAAAAACATGGTAAATAAAATATCAGTTTCTAATTTATTCTGTCATACAAGTGTTGGTTGATGGAAATCATACAATTTTTTAAGTTTCTTGTAAAACGTAAATAGCAGTACATTGACATAGATGATAACTTTACAAAGAAATTATTTAATTATGAAATGTACAATATAATTTAATGTTATAATTAAACATTTTTACAGCTTGTTTTTTTAAATAAAATAATTGTTTATTACAAATTACTTCAAATGATTGTTTTATAATATTATTTTGGCTTATGTGACATATTTATTGGGAGCACTAGACTACTAAACACAATAAAGTTGAGTCAAACAAAACAATGAATTTTAATTGACATCACAATAAAATAATTTACATTAAAATCATATGGAACATTTATCTGTTAAATACCTAAAAAAATTTAAAAAGTTTGTTTAGGCTTTTTAATAATAAAGGTTCACTAATAATAAATGTGAAGTAGATAATTTTATTAATTAACAATAGGGAAAAATAAATATTTCTAAAAACATTAACTTTTTTCCTACAATTTTAGGATCTATTGGTATTATGATCTATGTAGTAGATCGAAAATTGTACACATAATGCTATATACTGTAAATGCCTTTTGTTAAGAGCTATACAGTACTTATTTTCAATTTAATTGATCATTTGGTGGTAAAAAAACTTGTTGACCTCATTGCATAAGGCAGAATCGACCTTGATTAAAATTCTTCTACTTACAATAACAATATATCCAACTCTTCGAAAACAAACTTACTTGCATAGTGACGATTCTGTCGTCAACCATCACTTCTTTGGTTAGGAAATCGGCACCGATCGTAGCTTTGTACTGATTAGTGAATTTCTTGTTGACATACTGGTTCATCAGCGACGTCTTGCCAACACTCGAGTCTCCCAAGATTATCACTTTTAGAAGGACCTTTTTCCTGGTGGCCATGGCAATGCGTTTTTCCCAGCCTAAACAAAAAACTATTTTTTCTCACGACACAAAGCAACTATTGACTAAAACGCGTTACAATAGACATTGTAACGAATTGTTTAAAAAATTTACGTTGATAATAGATAATTCCCCTTGCTCACAAAGAAGCATGCGGGCAGAAAAAAACAATAATTTTAGAATCGTTTGGCTAGGACTTACTACGTTCGGCCGTTTACAAAAGTGATGTCCGCGGACGACGATGGACTGGACTTCCTTTAATACAATATTTAGTATTATAGATATTAGGTACAGACGGTGAAAAAAAATTCCGGCCGATCAACAGATATGTGCAATCATTTTGTCGACACTCGTCACTATTGTCGTGTTTCCGGTTTTGTCGGTCCACTTGATGGTGGTGCACTACGCAGTGTTTTAGTTGCCGTAGACGTGTACACTGTGTAGAACGTACTGTGTACTGGCCCAGTGCAGTGTACTGTGGTCTGTGTTATATCATCAGTATTTCATAGCTGTAGTTCGTACCTCGTTCACTTTGTTACTTATTCTTTATTGCGCCGCAAATCTACCAACTATTATGAGTAATACAGCCTACTGAAAAAATGGTGGTGCGCGGAGGGGAGCTGCACGTCTGACGTACAAAGTGGATAATAACACAGCTGATCTGACTCGCAGTGTGACCGCGATCCGGGACAAATAATATTTTAACATTATCAAATATCGACAGACGACAACTTACGAGTTTACGACTCAATAGTCGATAGTCGATACTCGTTACTCATAACTCATAAGACAAATTCACAACTTGACAGTTGACACTTGTGAATTTCACGAGTCGACAGTCGTTTTGAATTTTAATTTGTTTTGACAATATTCAAATGTAAACTAAACCAATAATTGCTTTTCATATTATATTCTAAGAAACATTAAACAAGACGTAAACCAAGTCATTCAGTTTAAGAGAATTCAAATTATCGATAGGCCTACGGTACAAATATATTGATAACATCAAAATCGATACTAGCATCCAGTTGTAATTGTAAATATCAAAATAATATATTGATATATTAATTTATAATTATCGATATTTTGATATATTGTTTTACTCTATTCAATCTTAATACTAATATATCTATTTTTAAATTTATACTTATCGATATATTTGGCCATTCCTTAATTCAAAATATCTTGTAAATATTATATTCATTAGGATATTGAGGCTAGTTTTTTTATTATCTAGTTATTTTTTATCAGACTATCACAGTTCGTTAGATTTTCTAAATAAACCTCTCACTTTTTCAGTAAAAAAATATTTTCTTATGTACTTAAAAAAGGCGGAAACTTAAAGTGGGCATCTCAAGAGTTTTTTTCAATAACTTTAAAATGCAAATCATTATTTGAATTTCAAAATATCATTTTTTTCGCACTTTTAACTTAGTGTAGACGAAAAAGTTTTTGAGATGATATAGTAGGTACCTTTCTATTAATGTCAAAATCATATTTAAACTTTCTATCAAAGAGATATGATTAAATAATGCTAACGGCAAACCATAGAGTAGACTCTATGATTCAAACCTTTGTTTTTCCACTACCAGGCTCAATATTGTATAGATGATAAAACCAAACTTGAATTAAATCCATCTAATGGATTCTGATAAAACTATTGAGCATAATATATTGTAATACAATTTATCATATATCACAGACAGGCCTGACCTCGGAAGGTCTCGCCAGCACCTTCCATTACTCCCGGTATTATAAATTACTCTTAAGTCTTATCAACAACAAAATGCATTATGAAACCCATCATATAATTATATATATTATTATATATTAACTCTGAAGTTTATTGATTAATTATGTTAATAATAAATAAACTAATTATCCACAGCATTTTTAGGCAGATGTACATTATATGTCTAATTGAAACCGTACAAATATATTTCTTACTTTTGTACTGTTATCTAATCTTCTCTCATCCTGTTCTTCTACCATAGCTTAAATTATGTTCCTTATTCGCTATTCTACAACTCTCTGAACTTCCTCATCCCTCCACCAAGTTTCCTTATTTTCAGATATACTACTTCTACTATCACCAATAATCTCCTTTGCAATACCTACCTTGACACAAGTGGTAATCCTTTCCCACACATTGTTTATATTTCTCTCAACGTGCCACACGACCCTTTCTTTATAAATTAGAGTAAATATTTCTATACTTAAAAAAAGGATAAATTTTAAATCATATCACCGTGCAATCCAAAACGATATTTTACTGTTTAGAAAAACATAGAAGGCTCAAGGCAGGAACAATGATTAAAAAACAAAATAGTACTTATTAATTCTAATACCTATACCTATTTATTTATTGGATGTACGTCATCAGGATGCTGTATGATATTGATTTCTTACTTACATAATATTATAACATCAAACTGGCGTGGTTTCCACCACCGCATCATAAATCCTGTCTCCCAGAACACGGGATCTACTAAACGAACTTAGGGCTAAAAAAAATAACATATAGGTAGTATGAATTAGAGAGCCAAACCTTCAACTAAAGAGGTTAACCCGCTAATGCGCTCTGATTTGTCGGCGTTTACATTGTAAGCGACATGTATCGCCTGTTTTATTCCAATTTTTTTTACATCAAAAGTCCTATTTAACTGGAACTTAAATGGCGACCTGTGAAGTTGTAATAAGATTGATTGACCACTCCTTGACAATAAAGGCTCTCAATGCTACTAGTATAGAGATACTATTAGCATTGATTATCAGATTATGTAATAGAATGTTACATAATCAATGCTAGTACTTAGTAGGATGAGTCATCAGACGAAGAAAAAAACTGCTTCTTTAAATTTGTATAATGGCTTATGGCTATTTCCTAAACTTTCTCCACTCATACATAATATAATAAAGGTTTTTTAGTTAATTACCTTTATTAATAAGAACACCTACCGAATATTTTCTATTACAACGGATGTCTTTTTCCGACCTCTTAATGTATTATAATTAGGCCTTGAACTCAAACATAATCCATAAAACCAGAATTTTAATTTTTTTACCAAAACCCATAGTAACTATTTAAAATAATAATATTTTATTTTTAATTTATTCTTTGATAGCCTTAAACTTTAACTCATAACTGCAATAAGTTACAATATGTACCTAAGTTATTAAAAAAGGTGTATTACTAAACTATATTTTGCATTGGCCGATTCAGAGGACACCGTACCCCCCTATTTATTAAGCGGTTCGGTAGAGGCAATTTTTTACATGTCTTAATTTAATAGTTAAACTGTATTGTGTAATTGTTAGTACAGTAATTAAGACTTATTTTTAGTTAATTTATTTTTCAGATTATCACAGAATCTTTGGCAGTGTTTCAATTTTTGTTCATCTAAACAGCTACGCATATTCCCTATTACTGGCTAAATAATTATGGTAAAACATTTTGTTTACATGTTTAAAATCATGAAAACTTCGTCTAGATTCTCTCGTTGGCATTTTTTGATATTATTAACCCAACATTCACAGCTTATATTTTAATTCTAACATTCGTTTACTTTTTTAAGTGTTTGTATTTAAGGTAAAAGTTTTCTAAAAATACCGATGAGAGAACCTAGTTAAAGTTCTCATCTTTAACGGTATTAATTGATTTTAAAATATGTTTTCTATCAACATTTCGCTTTGATCTACACACTTTGCCATAATCACGTTCTTACTATTATTTTTAAAAAGTATTACGTCATCTTAAGGACAAATTCTAGTTAGCCTAGGCTTGCACAAAAATGTTGAACTCATAATATTGTTACTTTCACCAATTATTTCCAATAACAATGTTAGTTTAAAAAATGCCAGCTTTGTTATACTAGTTTTGTCATTTATGTTTTATATTAATTGTAAAATTCGATAAATCGATAAATACGGTTATCTTCAATCTTCATGTTATTAGATTAGGTATATTATATTTTATATTTTTCGATTACTACGATTCCAAAATTCGAAATTTGAACAAACGATAATAATCGATCACGATCTATAAAATTTATAATTCGGATATACTCTACTTGCAATATTAGTATTTTGTACATAATATGTAGAACTTATGGCTCTAGGATTTGGTATAGGTTAGGTTATATACTTACCTTTTTATAGATATAGATTGCTTAAAATAAATACATAGTCCATAGATCACACCTGTGCACAGACTACTGTGCATATCGCACACCTAGACCAAAACTGTAGCAATTCAAAATACACTTTTTTTCAGAAATCCCAAAAATCTTATTTTCAAGTTTAATTACTTTAACTTGTTAATTAAATGTTAACTGTTTATTTTAATAAAACAGTTTTGTACAACCAACCTACGTGCACTCCGCTTAATGTCTAGGCAGAAACTAAAGTTTTAAACGGTTTTGGTAATTAGGATTATGGGGTTAGTCATTTTTACAAAAGGTACGGGTTACCTATAGCGCCATATTATGTAGAGTAATGAAAAAAAATTTTAATTTGTTTTGTTGATTCATGCAACTTCGATCAATAAGATTAATTTTTAAAACCTTGTGCATAATGACTAATGAGTACGAGCGAGACACTAGACGTTTTGTTATCATTTTCCCGATAAGTTATTTATTGACTGTCACATAAATGTAACTGTTAAATATACAAATATTAAACGTTAATTTGTATTGACACAATGTGTTTACCTTTTATATTATTTAGCATACCTACAGCATTTTGTTCTATAAATTTTAATCGAATTATATAATATTGATGATTGTCGAATAGCTCAATAAACAATGACCCCAACACAATTTAATCTATATGATTAACGCTTTAAAACAATTTATTTATATTATTAAACAATATTGGTGAATTTAATAAAAAGGCCCAGTCCGCAAGTATAACAAACGGCCCGATAAAATAATAATTCAGTGACGGGGCACCATTTTCGATTTTTTTTTTAAATAAAAAGGATAAATTACCTGAATTATAATTATATTGAATGACTAGGTATAAGCTACGAATTAATTAGGTATTTCTAGTCTAAGCCGTCCTAACGTCGTTCGGGGCCTAGGTACAACGAAAGACTCGTAGTCTATGTAGGAAGAAAAATTCACCTCCCCTACCCCCTTTAAATAGACTGTTAGAGGGCACTACAAACCTATTTATTAAGGAGTGAATTTTAGGCAGTTTTTCGCAAAATCTTAATTTAAAGCTTAAAACTATAATAATAATAATAATCTTTACTACGGAACATTTTGGAACAAATCTACTTTACCGGGCACCCTTAATTTTTGAATATTGAAAATTTAAAATTTTAGACTTAGTCGGTATGTCGATGTCGGCTAACTTTAAAAGTCTGTAACTTTCAAACTAATTGCGAGCGGCGCAAAATTTTTACATATTCGTAATCAGCATTAAAAGTACTATCGATTTAAAAAAAAAATCGCAAAAAAAAAAGGGTGTAAACTAGGTTTATACCCATTATATTTGTATATTAATTATTATATTCATAATTTAATAGGTACGCTATTGCTATAAATAATAATAATTAATATTATTATTTATAAGGTTTAACCTTTCGACATCTATGGTTGATTGTTGAATAGTAAAAACGATGACGTTTAAATATTATATTGTGGGGAAAATCCCTGGTTAAGGTTGCACTGCGTTCAGACGGCCCGGCGGCGTTTGGCTACCCTCTGCCGGCGAAAAGCGGAAAATGAACACAAGTCACAAATGCCAGATACTTCTACAGAGTACAGGCTACCCGTAGCCTATACACACACGCACTCTCTACTCAGCGAAATTTACAAAAACCGTCCGAGAACGTCTGTACGAATTTTGTGAAATTGATAGATAATAAGTATAATTCAATATTGTTGTATTATCGTTAATTGTAATTCGTATAACGTATTCGCGAGTGCGTGTGTGCAGTGTGTGTGCGCTCGCTTGCCCGTAACAGCTTTTCACCTTATCGTTCAAGATCCGTAAAATTTTGATCCAGGTGTGAATGTTTTTTTTTGTTAACGAAATTTATATTATCGTGATATGCGCATAAACACATTAAATGACCGGTAATTGTCGTGTGTCGTGTTAAAACTTTGCTGTTTTACAGCGAATCGAAAACCGCAACGACGCGGGAGTTGATAAGCGAGCGCGGGTGTGTAATTTTTCTTTGGTAACTAGCCGCGTCATCCACCGCACCCTTCAAATATGGATAAAAGGAAACTATCGTAAGTATTTATTGGCTTCCGCGCCCCGGTAATGCGATCTCGAAAAAAATGATGGCCCCTTGCCATTGTTTATCGCAATTTAGTAGATACCAATTTATATGTCGGAACTAACCGGCAATGACGCCAACTAGTTATCGATTCTTTTGGGGAAACTAAAGTTCAGTTGTTTTACTCGATAGTATGCTAATATAATATAATAGGTACCATAATAATTATGCTGTATTAAATCGGCACCCATTGCGAAGTAGTGTTTTTATCTATGAAAATGAGTATGACTTCTCGCTTTTCTTTGTAAACACTTAACAAGCATAATATTATGATATACAATAAACTACATACGACTTAAGTGATGAATATGAATATTTTACTGCAACTATCAAAATATCCTTTTTTTTATAATGAAACATATTATTAGCTATTATTACGACGATAGGCAAACATAATAATTAACTATTGACCTATCAGACCCAAATCGTTGAACATGTAGCAGCATTGGAATGCTTAAAAATTATATAATTTATTGATGACTACCATAAATATACTCTGTCCACCTAGAGAACATGCCGGGTTTACGCATGTAGACTGACGACTAAGCAGCCGTCGAGGACAGGCTGGCAGACAGGACGGTCTCCGGGGGGATGCACAGATTGGCTAATATTTGTCGGGTCGCGGCATGTTCTCTCGGCGGATAGGGTATAGACATAAATAATATAGACATGAATAATTGATATAATCTTTTCTAAATCAGAAATAATAATATGTTAATTCTAATATATTCCTACAATGATGCTACAGTAGTTTGTATTTATATTTTTTTATTATGGGTAGGTAGACAAAGTAGATACTAGAAATTTAACTTTCTAGTGTCTGCTGTCTGCATTACGTGTAGGTATTATAATCTTTCAATAAGTAGGTATTATTACATCTAATTTTATTTATTTAAAAAAAAATGTTCTCTATTATATATATATATATATATTAGGATATTCATAAACTTACTTGATAAAGTATGTACTGTGATGAAATACGCTAAACATTAAATAAAATATTCGAACGTAATAGTAAGGTCATCATTTATCAGTTAACAGATAAAAATAAAGCACCACCTAAAACTATTATTGTATAAAATAGATAGCATTGGAAAATATTATAATAATTAAAGTGTTTTATGTGATGATTAAAATAATTTTAACAAGAGTAAACAATTATTATGCTTGGTAGAAAAAAATTATGATCTGTCTAATTATATAATTAAATAAAAACAAACCGTATTTACTGTGTATATTCATGTTTATACAATAATTCATGATAATTTTTAAATGTACAATATAATAGGTTTAAATTATAATCCTTTTATGTTCCTTTTACGATTTTGAGTATGTCAAAAGCATTTAACTCGTCATAGGTATCGGTATGTTTTGTAACATGATTGGTATCGTATTAGATTTACGTTAGCATAGTTGTTTTTTTTTCCTATGAATTATTTAATAATCTTAGAATAGTGAAATAAAGATAGAAGTGCTTATCCAGTTATATCCTATTCAAGTGGGATTACTTATGTAGTCTATTTCATTTAAATTTTCAATTAAAAATTTTTTACACATTTTTGATGTACAAAAATCTATTTTATTAAAATTAAAAAGCCCTAAGTAATTATTACATTATTTATTTTTATAACTTAAAATATAGTTTATATAATGACACTTGTTTGCATTTTTATAAAAGTATAAAAATAGTAATGTATGTTTTATATATATGTAAACACGGTTAGTCTCGTGCGAGCGTAACACTAACATAATGCGGTGCAGTAGACTTTGACCAACCATCATACCTACAAATAGATGTTTACATTTTTTTTTTGTTATTTTGGTGTATTAGTATATTGATAAAAAGTACATTTAGTTTCAAAACAATCTATTATTGTTTATTATGTTTCCAATATAAGTTTAATGTTAGCGGAACGCTAACATAAGATACCAATGACGGGTTAAGTTTATTACGTACTGTATTATAATTTATATATTTTATACAAATTCAAGTATGAAACACACTTTTCAAAATTTTATTTTAATAATTAATTCTACAACATACTTATACATAAATTAGTATAAATTTGTATTGTAACAAAATAAAATAAAAGCAAATATTTAATGTTAGAAACAAATATTACATGGCACATTTGTAATAACTACGTTGTTTTTATATTCAAAATTAAAATTAAGCCATTTTTAAATATTTGTTTAACCTTTTATTTAATATTAACCAAAATCTATAAAAAAAAAAAGAGTGCCTTTGTACTGAAGCAAAGTCAGTTACATAAGCAAAGCATGTAATAAAAATATATTGTTAAATCTTTTATAATTATTAAAACAAAATTCTTCCAAAACAATTTCTCACATTTAATAAGTAGTTTAGAAATATTACAGTGACCATAATACTTAATTTGAATTAAAATATGTATGGTATAAAGTATGAACACTTGTTGAAGAATTTTGATTATTTATTTATAAATAACTTTATTGTTTTTAATGAATAGTTTTATTAACAACTTGGCAGACTTGTTCTATTTCTTTATCATCCATAAAATTATCCAGTATGGTATGACTTATACGATGCTTAATCCTTTCTTTTAATGGTCCTTTAATAAATATTTTAACTATATTTAATGCACCATTAAAAAAAAACTTCGGTACATACTTGGGTACATCTACAACATAAACCTCCATTTCTTTGATTGCCTTTAAACTTATACTATATGACACCTCACAATTTTCCGGTATTACTGCCATTTTCACGTCTAGTTGGTTGTCTATCATTGTTGCACATAATTGACACTTTATACCAATGCATTCTGAGTTTTCCCAATTTATTTCAATGTAAGGCACAAGAAATGATATTTCTAACCAAGATTCGACTTCTCCAGGATGTAAAATGATATTGCCTTTTCGCCTTATTTCTGATAATTCGACAACACGGCCATCTTTTCCATTGAATAATCCAACTGAAAAATCCTTAATGCCTTTTTTTAGAAAGGATTTATGTCGATCAATGTAACCTGTTGTTTTTAATAGATTATCGAAGAAGTCATTTAACAAATTCTCTTCAGACGATATTTGTCTAAAAATGTTTAAAACTAAGATAACTATACATACCTTTAAATTCATTTTAGTGAACTACCTACTTAATAAACTGTAACAAGAACTATATTGTAAGCTGTAGTTGTGGTTTGTTTAGTACTATATCTTATAACAGTTCATGGAAAATGGAGACAGGAAACAATTTATTAAAGGTTACTCTTGTTAAATCCACTAACTGTATATCCCCACCACAATTTTGTTAACTCAAATGACAGTGATACAGCTTAAAAAAAGTGAGTAATAATTGAAGCAATGAAAGAATTAATATAGCCTATACAGGCATTGTCCGTATGCTTTAACTGTCCAGTACCAATAATATGTGTCATAACTAGAGCCAACGATTCTACACGTGTATTTTAAATACACATGTAGGACAAGGTTCGTGTAGTTTGAATTGCATGTAGAAGTTTGTGTAATTATAAATACACGTGTAGGACAAGTTTGTGTAGTTCGAATTCACGTGTACAAGTCCTTGTAATTAATACACGTGTAGGACCCGAGATTCCACTAACTTGACCCAATGGCTATAATACTTTATCTTAGTGACAACCATTAATTAAAGAATAGTATCACGTAAAATTAGAGGTCTTATTAAAACTTACAGTTGTAAGAATATGTGTAGTTGCAGGTACACGTGTACTTATAACTACACAAACTTCTACACGTGTTACACGTGTATTGACTTACACGTATAATCGGTAGCTCTAGTCATAACAGAGGACAATTTTAAGCATGCGAATAATACATTAAAATATTATATAAATTACATTAGGTCCTCTGCTACTTATTCAATAGCCTTACAAAATTACTTGCATATAACCTGATACCTGAATTTGTGGCTGCTTAGATTTTATTTTCTAATTATAAGTTGTATGCTGGTTATATTAAATGTATAGGTACACATAATTATTTAAATTTATATAAATATTGGTTGAGTATAGGCACTGTCAGTAAAGCACAAAATACCTTTACACGGGTGTCCAAGTTCCTTTAAATTCCTAAGTACCCTCATGTAGCCTTCTATATCTGAATACAATGTACATACTACTATTTATATTGAACTATGCACTTTTATGATCTAAGACCATTACAGCTCAGTCAACAGACAATGTTATAAGGATGTCAGTCGAACTTCTGATTCTATATAATCTAATTTCCTGTGCACATTGTAAAGATATTTTAAATTGATACATCATACTGTGGTATGAGTTACTGTCGCTAAAAATCTTAAGTCGACGCTAGACGTTCGGTTACACTTATTGCATTTCTTCAATTAGTGTTTTTCTTTAAAATTGCTGAACCGACAAGACATCAATTTTTCAAAATTTTATTTGACATTCTCAAAACATTTTTAAAATGACATCAAGTTCAAACCAATGTTATCATACTGTGAATATTTTAAAAGTTCACTGATCCCAAATACATTTCTTTTTTGTAATGTAAGTCTTACCCAAAAACGTCTTATATTTTAATTTTATTTATTTTGAAGATTTAATTAAATATATTCAGCACCAAACATTAGTATTTCTTCCTCATCTTTAATACTTCTTTTCAATTACCATATTGTTATTTTAATTTAAAAAAAAAATTAAAAACTAACAAACCAAGAACTGAAAAGATTGTACTTCAAAAGCAGACTAAATGAATGTGAATGGTTAACTAATATAAGTATACGTACATTTTTATAACAACCTTTTTAGTGTGGATAGTTGAAAATACAAACATAGTGTATGAATTTTGTTTATGATTTGTAGAGTTTTTTCATCAATTCAGTCTAGCTGAACAAATGTTTTTTACAGTTAGTTTTTTTTAAACAGAAGTTGAGATTTTTTTAATTTTTTTTAAACCTCTGCGTGGACCCGCCATTTTATAAATATATATACAAAGGTTTTGTGCACTTGTTCTTATTGTTTAACTCAGTTGAAATGTATCTTTGTATATTACTTTATACTTTTTATATTACTATTATATAACTTGACTTTTACAGAACCTCTGGAGATTCCCTGTATGTCACGTTGAGCTTGAGCAAAACTGCTGAAACTGAAGAAATCAAGCGAACATACCGTAAGCTAGCATTAAAGTATCATCCCGATAAAAATACTGGAAACCCTGAAGCTGAAGAAAAGGTTTGGAAAAAGGGATATTATAAAAATAATATATTGACCAGATTTTTTTATAATTCATAAAATTACAGTTCAAAGAAATAAACAAGGCATACCGTATCTTGACTGATCCAAGCAAGCGTAATATATATGATAATTATGGATCATTAGGACTTTATATTGCTGAACAATTTGGTGAAGAAAATGTCAATGCTTACTTCTTTGTTACTTCCAAATGGTGCAAGGTTTGTTAAAGCAATTTAAATATTACTATTAGCATTCATTTTTGTTTTTTTTTTGTAAATTTACCTAACAACAACATTTTTTTTTTCAGGCTTTAATTATTGGATCTTGTATATTAACTGGTTGCTGCTGTTGCTTTTGTTGTTGCTGTTGTTGCAACTTTTGTTTTGGGAAGTTTAAGCCAAATGTGTCTGAAGAACAACAAGCAAATTACACTAATTTACATGTAAGTATTAATGTTTAAAAAAAAATGGCATACATTTGCATGAAAATTATAATTTGATGTTAAAAAAAGTAACAGAATTGACATTTTATTGTTTTACACAATTACCACCCAAATTCATTTTAAATACAATTTGTAGATATTTATCTAAATTAAAAATAGTGGCTAAAAGCTAAAACTGAATAAAACAAAACATATTTCTTTAAATTTGGTTTTTATTTGTATTTAATTTTGAGTCATAAATAATTCTACAATGACTTTAATTTAATTTTTTTTTTTAATTTTTTCATTACTTTTAAGTAAAGACAACGACTCCTAGAATGAGGACTAGCAACCTCTGTTTAGCAGTGTGGAGTGAATCAAGGCCTATATATACCTCTAGAATCATGAATGCTTTATTTATTGTAACACATGGATTGACTGATATATATATATATATATATATATACGAGGGGTACCCTAAAGAAACAGAACTGATATTGTGGGGGGCAGAGTTTTTGAAGTACGGGGTTTTGCAAGCTTGTCGTTTTTGTGATAGCTGATTTTCGCGAACAGCGCACTGCCGTGAAGTTTTGGTTCCTGCTCAGGAAAATTAGCTCAGAAACTTTGAAATTTTGAAAGTGGCCTACAAGGATGATGTTATGGGGAAAACTTAAATGTTTGTGTGGTTTTAAAATTAGGGATGTATCAATTAATGATCAACCTCTCTCTGGACGTCCTTTGACGGCTTGTAGTAACGAGAATGTTGAAAAATGTTTGATGTGAGAGGAGTTGTTCTTTAAGAGTTTGTTCCACCGGGTCAGACAGTTAACCAAAATTTTACCTGGAAGTTTTGAAAATAAGGTCTGATTTGTGGTAGTCAGAGGACTGGTTTTTCCACCACAACAATGGTCCCCCTCACACAGCCTTCTCTGTGCGCCGATTTTCGACCAAAATTGGTATGACCTTTGTGCCCCATCCTCCCTATTCATCTGATCTAGCCCCCTGTGAGTTCTTTTTATTCCCCCGAATGAAAAGTGACATTTTCGATTTGCGGACGTGGCTGTAGTAAAGACAAAAAAAACGACAGAGGCGCTGTCAGGCATCACAAAAAATGAATTTCAAAAATGTTTAGGAACAGTAGAATAAAAGATTAGACAAGTGTATTAACCCCAATGGAGAGTACTTTGAAGGAAATTAATGGTTTTTTGTAAGAAAATTACATAAATCACTTTGTACAAAAATAGTTTGGTTTCTTTTGGGTACGCCCTCGTATTATACGCATGTTTTAATAATAACTTTACTGGATTAAGAATGGTAATTTGGATAACAACCACGTAAATAACAGGAAAATACGCTGCACAATTATGTAACGGTCGCAAAATTCACATTTTTATTCCCATTCGCTAACAAAAAAAAAGTCTAGAATTAGACATCATTTTTAGTATCAGAAATCATTTTACACTTAAAAAATAAAGTTTAATAAACAATTTTTGTCTCTACAGAACTTTTACAGAAAAAATTGATTTCATTAATAGGGCGTCGCACCGCCCATTTTTAAGGAGTAAAGTATAGGCAATTTTTTACAAAATATTAATTTAAAGGTTAAACTGTGATGTGTAATTATGAGTTCAATAACTAGGACTCTATTTTGGTAGTTAATTTATTTTTTGGACTTTCACAGCATCTTTGAAAGCGATTTAAAAATGTTTTTTCATCTCTACTTGTTTAAGCAGACTGAAAATAACTCGCTTCATTTTGGATTTGGAGTAAAAGCACCGATTATAAAATTAAAAGAAAACAATATTTCGGAGGGCAAGACGGTGCGTTTTTTTCATTTTTCTAAGTAAAACGCTCAATACATAGTTTAGAAATAACGACTATTTTAACATTTTTAAATGACTGTAACTTTTCAAAAAATTAATTTTTTTAAAAAATGTAACTTCAAAAAATTAATTTTTTAAAAAAAAGCACCGTCGTCTTGCCCTCCGGAATATTGTTCTCTTTTAATTTTATAATGGGTGCTTCTACACTAAAACCAAAATTAAACGAGTTATTTTCAGTCTGCTTACACATGTTTTTACCACTGAACATCACCAGTGCGACGCCCTCTTAATTCCAAAATATACCTCGTCAAAATAATTTATTTTAAACTTAACTTTTTTTTAATGTGTAAAATAATTGTTTTATTCTGAATAACATAATTAATTCTGGAAATTCAATTTTTATTAGTTAGCAAGTAAAATACGGTTTTTGCTGTATTCTTGACTATAACGTATACAATTTATTAAAAGTTATTTTTTATAATATAACTACTACATTTTTAAATTTTAAATAATAATATTCTTATAGTAGCTATTAGACATAACATTAAATTTGTGATTGAAAGATTACTTATTTAATCATGTTTATTAGTTGTGCTTATAATATATTTGTATAGATATTTCTTGTAATATCAATGACATTCTGAGGTTGTGTGAGACCCTGGGCATCATTAGGATTAATTAAAACTCATTAGCATACTAGAATACAAATATTAACATTTTGTGGGATTTATTTATGCAACCTACTAATAAATTGTGCTCTTAAAAAATAGATACAATTAGAGGCTTAAATTCTCTTAAATTATATAAAGCATAAAAAAAAACTGATTTTTGTAAGTTCATATGGTAGTTTAATAGGTGGGAAAAAATTAATAGTATTGTTATCTCGGTTATATTGGTTTAATGGATCATGAACTCCTTTATACTGCAAGTGGGGTGGTTCAAATTCAATTCCCGATATTGAATTGTGCTCTTTTTTCTATTTTTTTTATAGTATAGAAATTAATTAATAACATTTATTTAAACCATAAACCAGAAAAATAATACTCTATAGCATATACGTATTTTGGCAGTAATGTTACCTACAACAGATTGAGATAGATTACACCTATTGGTGGTTTAAACCTAACCCTAATATTTAGTTTTGCCTGAGCAACATAGCTTTTATCACATTCTTCAGATTATATTTGATAAATCCTCGATTTTTCCTCTTCCCCTATTTTATCTTTGGTGCTACCTAATAAAGATATTAAATTATTACTTTTTATTGCAACTACAATAATTTTTAATACAATTTGTGAAACCCCTTTAGACATCTTGAAAATGACCCATACCTAATTTATCATTTTTTCATCCGTTGTACTAAGTGTGCTGGCTGTCCTAACTTCCCTTAACTATGTATGCTTATTAACTAATCTAAATATCATATCTGCATCATACCCATTAAATTTAAATATTTTAATTGTTAATAAGTTCTTTATCAAAATAACTTTTTATCGTTGGAATATTGCTAATCTGAAAAACCATACTATTAAATGCTGCCATTTTATGTTGTTGTCATTTTATGTATGTCAAATCACTGTTAGTGATTTGAATCTTTGGGAATGTATCTAATAGTGTGCATTTTCTTACGATAAATCTCAAAACTTCCAGTTAACTTTCAATTTCTTTTTCATACTTTAATGTAATAAAAGAATAATGAGAATTTACACCTTGAAGAAAAACATCAATATTGAAATCTTTTTCCACTATAGCTAAAATGTCATCTACATACTTAAGCCAAATTTTTGAAAAATTATTATTACTATTTTTAGTATTTATTTTAAATCAATCTTCTGCCTAGAAAGGTGATAATAGATTACCCATTGTCATTAGGGAGGCTATAGAAATGTTGAAAATTGGATTAATTTGTTAAACTAGGACTTAGGTCCATTACAAAACATTTTACGTATTTTAAAATTCATAAAAAAAAAAAAGTTCAAGATGGTCATTTCTGGTATGACGACACTGTATATAAGGAGGTGTTTGCCGGTAATGGGTTGTATACACTGATGATGGTAACATTGCCCTCAGTATGGCAATGCGTAGTATGCAAGTTACTTTAAATTTATTTTAATAAGTAGCATTGTACTGTATATAGAATGAAAATGCATGGAATTTTAATAATACTTTTTTTTATAATTAGTTTTGAGAGACATCAAAGAGTAGTTAATTCAATACTTTACTTTATTTATGTGATACCTCTGAATAAAAAAAAATAAAAAAACTCATTTAATATAATTCTTGATAAAATTTAATTTACATTTGTTATTATTAATAGTTAATACATTAACTAAACCTACTTGATACATAAATAGACCACTGAAAATTATTGTATAGCAACCTATTTAGATAACTAATAAACCCTAAGAATGTATGTTTTCTATAGTGTTGGGTCTGAAACAGCGGGAAAAATGTAGCAAAAAACATGTTTTAATTATGAATTATATAAGGTGATAAAGCTCCAAATTATATTAAATATTAAAAATCAGAGGTATTCTACATACAAATTTCCTATGTAACATTATACATTTTTGTATGCAGATGTATTATTATTTGTAGTTTTTTTTTTTGTTTTTGTCCCTTTTGGTATTTAATGTTAGCTTGTTTTTTTGTGTTTTTTTTTTGTTTTTGTAGAAAGGCGGAGCTGATTTGAATGATGGTATTCAAAAAAAGGTAATTTATATTGAAATAAAATATAAATATAACTAAAAACCAACTATACATGTTTCAACATTTTAATTAATATTTATTTCTTGTCTAAGATTAAATACAAATGGATAATGTTTCAACATAATATTCAAATTCAACTAAAACATCTTTCAATTGTCTCCTTCATTATTTGTATACAATACATTTTTTCCGCTTAAATCTACTTTTTTTTGGAAAGTAGTTTGATAGTACATTGCTACTAGAATAAATTGTTTTTTTTTTTAAATAAACGCATGCTAAATGAATTACACTAAGTATGCTTGTATTTGTCTTTATTTATATTTAAGAAGCAAGATAATAATATCATATTAAACCCTATTGCTACAGGGTGATTTTTTAACACACATTTGGTACATTAAAAAAATCACCTATATTGTAAAATCAAATAATAAGTTTTTTATAGTTCATATGTTCTACTTAGTAATGAATTTTAACATTTTATCGTGTATGTTTGTATGATAACTATCATTTAAAATATCGTGTTTATTAAATACTTTAGTTAATCCATGTTATTTAAAATATATTTTCAACTATAATAATATTCATGAGTATTATTATTATTGCGATTCAGGAAGATAGCGAGGACGATGTAATTGTAAATCAACCAACATCTACAAATGGTGCGTCTGATAAAATGGGAAGTACAGTCATAGCTATGCCACCTCCTTCATCAGCTAACGAGACCACTGCATTGAATCCAGATGGTACACCCACAAAATACTCCACCAGCAAGTAATATTCTTAATATGAGCTATTTAGCCTTCAGACACATGCTTGAGAATTTCAGATTGAATCCATCTTATGCCTGTGGATTTCTGTTATTATTGAGTAATACAATTAAACAATATTTTAAAAAAAATTGTGTAGCATTCAAGTTCACCCAAAAATGCTTTTTTTTTGCGTGTTCTCCCCCCTATAAGTAGTATAGGTGTTTTATGTGTTATTAAAAGCACTCCCGAGAATATTTCTATATAATATTCAAGTTATTCTTTTAAAAACTTTAAATTAAATTTAAAAGCATCACTCTATTATACATAGGTACTCAAATTATCAATGTCTGTTAACATAATAATAGTTGTAATCATAAATAATTTTGTATAACTTCCATAAAATAATAATAGTAATATTTAGCTTTAGTAAAAACTAAAAAAAAAAATTATTACTTTATATTCAATTATTACTTAATGTTTTTATTGACTGAATTTCTGCTAAACCCTATTTAATAATTGTAATAATTATATTTAACATAATTTATTATTACAGTAATTAACTAAACATACCAATATATTGAACAGATCCAACAGGGATAAATATGTAAGCAAATTACATTAACTAAATATAAAAAAAAACTTGTTTGCAAATAGCTATTTTGTTCAATTTTGAATAAATTAATAATTATTATTAATGTCCTATTTCTTTTGTAATTTGTATTTTATAAATTATAAAAAATGGTATTTAATTGCTATATATTTAAATTTAATTTATACAATATATCAGTAAATACCTAACTAAATGTTCAACTTTTAACATTATACACAACTTTAATATATTATAATACTTATAAATTATACAATAATCCTATTTATATATTTTACATTTGTTTATTGTTATTTGCTACTTGTTAAACATATTGTGTTTGTAATTTTTTTTTTATATCTTCACTAGTTTATTTACTTATGAATAGCTTATAAAAATAATTTCTAATTGTTCTACGTCAAAAACTTAGTGGGACACGTCCAATTATAAATGTAATTTTTTATTTGAAGTAATGTTTGTATTATTTACTAGCGAGGTTTTTATTTTTTTCTATCTACATTTTAACTTATTTAATATACAATATTCGGTATCTCCTTTACTAAGATTGTTTTTTTTTTTTAAGTCTTTTAAGTAATTATAAAATGCCTCATAGTCTCAGGCTGATAGTATCAGGCTGATTTAATATAATATATCATCGTTGTTATAAAAAACCCTTCCTATGTGCCAATTTTACGATTTTGAGGTTTTGATATCCATGGATACAGAAAAAAAAAGCTATCATATGATAAAATCTCCAATGTAGAATAAATAAAATATAATACATCCTATGTGTTACCTACTATAAAACGTTTTACACGATTTAGTGTCTCCTGAACAATTAGGTTTTAGCACATGGGAGTTCTTTTCACGGCATCGACGAAATGGTACATTTTTCTCAAAAAAGGCTGTGTAGATGCCACCCACGCAAGTGCGTGAATATTTTGTATTGTATTTATTCAATTAGACAGTAGAAATTTCAGTTTTAACTTCCTACTTCAAAGCTTATAAAAATTAATTCTCGCACTCATGTTTTTAGTGCATTCATCTGTATATGTTGTCACATTTTCAACATAATATAGATCACATAACTTTCAAAAGTGACACTAAGTTTATTAACTGGGGAAAAACTTTTAAGTGACTTCAACAAAAATATTAACATAACTAAACATTTTTCCAAATTGTGTCTAGATACTGTGAAAAAAATGATTCAATATTATACTTATTGCATACCTTGAGGGTTGTATACTTAGTCTTACCATGGTGATTACTATAATTTCGATTTTTGACTTGTCAACTTTTGTGTGATATATTTCGGGCATACTATTAAAAATAAAAAACATGTTTTCTTGCATATTGCATATAGTATAATTGATATTTAATAATAAGTCTTATAGTTTACATTTAGGAAAAACAAAATAAAATTTATGTTGAATAAATCTTATGTTGAATTAACCGATTGGTTTCTATTTTCATGAGTTTCAGATACTTAGTTCATTAGTTTGAATTACCTGCATAGGTCGCTCTACCTTTTTTCCATCAATGGGCTAAAATATAATATACAATTGATACATAAAACAGTTAAAAAATAGTTCACACATTAGTTTAATTCTAACTGTGTAGTCAAATATATTATAGGTATTTAATATTCTACAGAAAATGCTTTTGGTAGCTTTTAAAATGGGTTGAACGTGTATCAAAGAGAGAAATAAAAAAAACAAAAATTGAATACACAAATAACTGAACATTTTAGTAAAGAGCTCTTGAACAGAAATCACTTCGACGCAGGCTAGCTGCGTTTTCGCGCAGAGCGCCTTAGAGACTGCATAACGGATGCTCTCATTGCAGTTACATTTTCTAGTCCCGTAACAGTCCTAGGTCACCCAGAAGATTTTCTGTTTAATGCATTACCAGTTGTCCCGAAGTTCGATACCCAATTTTTGATTGTTTTGGTGTCTGGAACTGGATCTCGCCGACGTAGCGCAAATCGTATGCGAAAAAACGCTGTTTTTTGATCGGTGATTCGCCATTTTTAATAAACTTATCAACGACAAAAGCACGATGTTCTCCTGACCATATCATGTTGTTTAATAAAAACGGCATGTGTCAACAAAAACAAAGCCGTGGTCCCCACTACTGTACCCCCTTCACACCTAAAGCAACACGTCACCAAAATCAGGGAGACCTTTCTGCCGGACCCTGTATTATAAAAAAATAATTTTAAATTGTAGTAACAATTAGATCACAATAACACAACGCAATATTGGGGAGATTGTTTGGATGTATTAGCATATTTATCTTTTAAGTTAATACTTAACATTATTTGTGCTACATACCATAAGTATTATAATATAAGGTATTGTGTGAAGAGGGGACTTAAAAATATGTTCAATGCTTATGCAACCTTCACTTTTTTTTAACGAAATAGCGCCTCTAATAATATTTACATCCGTATAAAAAATATTGAAATGTACCTAATATTTATAAACATTAACAAAATTAAGTATCATTCATAACAACTAACAGCTAAGTAAAGACAAATAAATGTATAGAGGCATTCCCTATACCATAGATATAAAAAAAATCATGAATAACCTACGAATAAAGGTATAATTTTTATCCATATCATAAAAATAAAATTCGATAAATGTATAGATATAATTATTGAATACATTAATGCATTGAGAGTATAAAATACTGAATACATTAATTATATTAATGGAAAAATAAATTTAAGAAAGTTATTTTTGTAGTGAAGTTGTACGTTACTCGAATAAAAAGCATTTTAATAGTAAATTTGTATTCCAATCAATTTATAAATATTAACTACGTATTATTCATGTAAATTCTTTGGTATTAACGAGTATACATGAAGATAAATCTAATTTTACACATATAAAGTATTATGTACGTATAATATATATAATATATTTTATTCGGGGATTTTTTGCCCAATACCGTGGAAATGTCTTCGAAAATACTAAATCACCACATCATGTTTTCAGTTTTAAGAAATATCGCTTTTACAATGATTGTTTACTTGTGATTTTTTACCCTTAATATTTTTCCATTCCGTTTGGTTTATAAAACCTGTAGGTAACCTTTGAGGATTATTTTTGTTATTTAAACTTGTTTTATCTTGTGTATCGGTATTAAGTATATGGTGAATACGCATTACAACTTAACAAGGGAAGACAGCAAGACTGGATTTAGGAATAATCGACACACATTAATTACTAAACGCTGTAGAAATATTATCGAAAACGTACATGCGATCTTCATGTGGCTCATCGTATAATTGTCTATAGAAGACGCTGTAATAGGTACACTGATAATCAAGAAATAATATTTTGAATCAAAATTGTTTGACACTGAAATTGAACACATTCGCCTCTTGGGCCTTGTGAGAGGGGCTCAAAGCACTCAGAATATTATATAACTTGATGCGGTTATTTTTTTTATCAATCTATGAATACGCCAGCCGCCAAATTGAAATAATTATTATACATTTTTTTTTGTATAGGAAAGTTAAAGACTTTTCAATTTTTTATCAACTGCATAATGTGAATAACCGAGAGCATTAATGATAGTAAAATGATTTATTCAGTTTAGTGGTGGTAATCCTTATCATTATATCATAATATATAAAAGAACAGAAGAATATTAGGTATATTCCAGTTTTTTGACGATGCATTTGAATGATTTCACATAGGTGTTGCAAATACCCCCCCCCCCCATGTCATTTCGTCGGCCTTTTCCCTATTTTTAGCAAGGGAAGGGCATACTTGCTAGATAGCTTAAAATAATAACAATAGTAATTTTGTACTTCTTTAATTAATAAAAAAACTTTGGTTATCGAATTTTATGCATATAATAGATGAAAATATGTATTTTTAAAACCATAAACTATAATTTACAATTGAGGGCGTTGCGTGGCAAAGTCGACAATCTCCAGCCGCAGTGATTTTTGGTAAATTTCAAAAATCTGATTTACCGTTATTTCTCGTATTTTTCCATGATATTTTTATTTTAATTGATTGATTTAAATGTTATTCTTCGTAATCATTGAATTGAAAAGTGAAAAATATAATAAGAAAATTTTCAAGGAAACTGGAGATCGCTGACTTTGCCACGCAACGCTTCAATTATTTAAAACACCCGCTACTTTTCTTCACACGAGAGAAACCGAGTTATTTATCTATTATAGTATCATATACATTGATCCTTGACAGAAAGTACTATAAACTGCGTATTTCAAAGCAAAAACTAAACATACCGCCTAATGGCATGCGCAAAATAGTCCGATCCCTAGTGGAACAGCTTATATAGGGTGTTTCATAAACAAGGAAAATTTTGAATCACGCGCCATTTTTTTTGTATTTTGTTGGCGGCATTGATGTTATCATTTTTATCATCTGCAATCATTCCCATTTGAAATATCCATACTTTGTGGCCTGAATTGAATAACATTGATATCCAAGAAATGTGGTTCCAACAGAATGTCCTGTGACACTCTGACCTTGTTGAGAGACAAATTTCAAGACCGCGAAACGATGACCAATACTAGCCTCCCAGGTCTTGTGACCTAACACCACTAGACTTCTTTGGGGTCACATCAAAGCTCGGGTGTATGAGAATAAGCCTCGAACGATTGTAGTATTGAAGAAGGAAATTCGAAACAAACTAGCAGAACTTGATGCGGCCACCTGTGGGCAAGTCATCACTAACTTCCTTGAACGTGTAAGCGCCTGTCGCCGAAATCGTGGTGTCCATATTATGCCTGATGTAGTATTTCATACGTAAATGGCAGGATATCAACTTGTACTTGATGCAAAAGTTTTGTAAAAAAAAAATGAATTGAATAAAATTTTGTAAACATCAAATTTTTCCATGTTTAAGAAACACCCTAGGTATATATTGTAACTTATAAGTTATAAGTATAATTTGTATTAATTGTAAAACTCTATACATAGGCAGTAGCATGTAAAAAGTTGTTAAATAATAGGTAACTGTCGTTTTTTCCAGTTGTGTGCTAAAGCAGACATACAAATGTCAAATGCACATTAGAGCGTCCGCTTCTATATTTACAAACAATGGCGCCAGTTCCCTTTTTGTTATAATTCTGGGCCAGTTATTAGACATTTTTTTAAAATTTCCCAAATGGGCCAGAGGTCTATCTAGTCCGTCGCGTTTTTAGATTATTTTGTTAATAAATACAAACATGGTATAAGTATTATAGAGCCTAGACATTATGTCTAAAATCACAAGGCCGTTTGCACAAACTATACTACTACAGACTACTTGACGTTTAGTAGGTATAACCTATAGATCCAATATAGTCTATAGACTACCCTATGTATTAAAATATGTTAATCGCTACAATATATTCGTGCCTCGTGATGTACCGCATAACCGTCTATAGTTGTAGATAAACTGGTAAGGATTTAAAACATTATAATTTAACAAGTAATTAAAATGCATGTTTATTTTTTAAAAAAGCAATTGCGTGATAATTTTCATTCGGTAGAAGGAACTTCCGGAATCGACACAAAGTACACTCCGGTGGTCCTGAAAAAAACTTAGTAATAATTATAAAAACTAAAAACAACTAATTTTAATCATACCCGTATGGTACATGTTCGCCAAATACAACTTCTTTTTCTCGCGAATTTCTTTCCCGGAGACAAGTGGAACTTAAATCGTTGTTGTTATTACTGTCAATATCAAATAAAGTAAATTTATATTTCACTATATTCCTAATTTCGTCACAGGGGCTTGCCATTATCTGATCGTTGTTGATAGATTCAGCAAAATACAAAAGAGCAGATCCATGGGAACACTCAAAAGCCTCTTTATCTGTTATTTATTGTATGAACAAAAAAAAATATATATAACATAAATGATTACAAAAGATATAACCAAAAAATAATTCAAGACACCTAAATATGTTTGTATTAAAATGACTAAGCAGGCATTGTATACTGTACAGGGTATTCACCTAATACCTTGACTAATTTATAGAAGAGCGATTGTCCCCTCTTTTACATATTAAGTCAAATAACTATAGCTAAAACCTTATTATGTATAATACCTTGTTAAGTAGGTCTCTAATTTTAACATTTTTGAAAAATTTCAAAAATATATAACATGGCATGTACAAAAAATAAAGGCTGAAGTATAGATGGAAATTTGATTATCCTTCAGATAACGCAACTGTCATAATTGCATTTAAGACAACTGGTATGGCTATTGACTAGTATGAGTGTTTGAGACTTGAGTACTGTAAAAATGTCAAAGGCAATGCGGAATGTCTAAAAAATCGCCATTTAAAGTTTCAACTAAAAACATTCTAACACGGCCCTGTTCTATTAAAATCTAACAATTTTAAAGATTTCCTATTACGTTTTTTTATCAAATATCATTTTATTCATTTAACTTACATGATTTATCTTTGACGCAGCCAGTTTGGAGAACACCGTTGTTCACATAAAAGTCGACACATCCCGTCGGATACGTGAAACCCTTAAGTGCGATTTGTGTGTGGTAGACATCTACAAACTCGGCACTTTCTGGTGTCAGTTTTGGTTTAAGATTGAATAACGGTTCGGCCGGATCCAAACCTAAGGGCGAAAACGATTACATATTATGTACATTTAAAATATAGTCAATGAAGTACTCAAATTTAATTCTAGATTGAAAGCTGAGTTTTATACAGGCAATAATTAAGAAAAAAAGGTGGTTTTAATAAATTTCGACCATGACAGTTTATTTTCTGGTTAATTTGTAAATGCTTTGGATATAAGATTTAACTTTTACAACATTTTCTACGAATAATGGCCATTTTATTTTTACAAGAAACCAATTTATACCTAAAAGCCTAACAAAATTACGACAACTTAAAATTATCGGATTTGAGTTCAATAAAAATACTTGAGCTCATCAGCAATTTTCCAGGTTATTATGAAAGTCGATTTATGAAAAACTTATTTATTTTGTTACTTTTAAAATTTGAGAAATTAAAATAGGATTTAAGCACTATATTTTAATTGAAATGTAAAAAATCAATTCTCACGTTAACCTAGAAAAGAGTACGATAAACCTCAAATATGTTTACATAATTGAAATTGGACCATCCTAAGTAGGCGAAATTTTGTCGGGCTTTAAGGTCTAAAACATCCAAATAACAGACCGATTTCAATCCCCTAACAGAATCAAGAATGTTTTACTAACCAGTCACTCTGTATATTGTGTTTCCCGTTTGATCCTTATACAAAGTCGATGCTTCGCCAGCTATTTGAGCTCCTAGACTGTGTCCAACTATATGTGCATTTTCGATTTCAGGACGTAAATCCAATATCATTTCGATCATCTTGGCCACTGCTTTCGCTACTATTGGTAAGTCGCATTTAGCAGCCTGGACGTAGTTGGCCCCGTATGATAGGATGTTCGTTTCAGATAGGTCACCGGTAACGTTAAAATAATCAACCATCAACACATTGCCATCTCTTGTTCCGTTTAGATATGCTACAAGATCAACGCAGGTATTTCATTATATTTTCAATGTGTTATCATTGATTAAATACAGTAAATTTTGATCTATGGTATTGACCCCTCCACACCACCGAAGTATCAGGAATTTTTTTTAAAGAAATTACCTGACTTACAAATTTTAATAATTATTATTTTTGGGAGGTTATTTGTCAATCCCCCCTTCTGAAAATATTTCCTGCGTTCGCCCCTGATAATTGGTAATTATTAATGATATGTTACTTTAAAATAATATTTAATTTTTATAGTTTATAAAAAATTATGTATTCAAGACGGGCGTTAATAATTTTCGTCTCAATGTGTAGGCAGGTACGTGAAGTTTCGTAAAGAATTAAAAAATTATGTTATGGCTAATAATAATGTAACAAATTAATTTTGTCTAAGTTTAATAAAATACTGGTATTTTTAGTAATAAATAATAAGAACTAAAACAAAAATATGCACGGGGTATTAAACCTTTTCGCAATGGAACTATGTTTTCCGCTTCAGAACTCGAGTCAAACCCATGAATAATAATTTTAAGAGTATCAAAGCCAGCAACAAATGGAGCCATTTTGATTGATTCTTTGTCTGCTGTAATAGGAGCTTTTTCGATATTTCTGAAATTAAAATTATATTTTTAATTTTTACCCCTAACTTACGCTAAAGATATAACATTAATAAACTCAAATTATGTGATTCATAAAAAATATCAAAAAGACCTATATTTCTAAGACGCTTTATTAAAAATGTATTCTGCAGTAGAGGTCAAAACAAGTTGAAAGAAATTTTAATGCAACGCCTTAAAACGCGAAAACAGGCAATACAGCACTACATTTTTACCTCTTATCGGGTAAAATTTCTTAAAGTAATAGTGCTTAACTTTAAACGATTTAGCTGCTCGACTCCATTTACATAGGATATGTAAAAAAAAGAAGAAGTTTGTTAATTTTTATTCAATCTACTTTTTTGTTTAAAGAAACATTATTATTTATGGAATTAAGATAATTTAAGTTATTTAACAGCTTGGTTGTTCGTTGGCATACAATAAAACGTTGATCATTATAATGTGATTTTAAAATGATTTAGGATTGAAAAAATGACTTACTTTGAAAACAAATAAAATAACACACGATTTGAATTTGGCGGTGCTACTGAACAGATCACGTCATCAAAGTCAATCGTCAAAACAATTTTGATTAACGTCAAAAGTGTTAACATTTTTAAAATGCTAAAATTCATTTTCGTAGATTATAGTCTTCACTTGACACCAAAAATTCGAATGAAAAGTAATGTCCAGAAGCTAATATAAAACAAGTAACTTTAATTAGCACTTTTCCGCAAAATGCAAGTTTATGTAACTAAGAAACTGTTTTAATAGATAATGTAATTTATATCTTAAGTATCCCAAATTGCTACGAATCAAAAACAAACGGTTTAAGTCTTACAGAAAAGTATTACCTATACATGTTATATAATCAATTGATTATATAACATTAATTGATTTTTAATATAATTACAAAATTTTCTATTTTCTATTTTTTAATAAAAACAAATCGTATTGGAAAAGATTAAAAAGATTTTTAATAAAATTAAAAAAGATTTTACCGTCTTAAATTTACCTGTAGTTGCAGTTAACTATTTATGAATATTAACAACACTAGGATTCGATTATTTTTCAGGCTAGCCATTCATATTTAATTTATGTTAATGATGTTTCATTAGGTATGTCAATATTCACACCATATTTTTTTAAATTACAGCAAGTTGTTTTCCATGATAAACAAAAATCAGTATACGTTGTCATAATTTCGATATATTTACAAAAAAATTGTTGCAAATCCGTCAATATTAATTTTGAAAATTGAAGTGATGTATGAAACACGAATTCGTTATAAATTTGAGGTAAATTACTAGAATTTGAACTTATTTATTATTTTAACAAATACTAAAACGTCTAATTTGATTAATTGAATGGTTTTATTTAATATTAGAAATTTAGCTTAACAGTAATAGGTAATGCGTATATAATTGTGTTATTAGGTATATTGATTTTTCCTCGTTAAAAAAAGCTTGGCTACAGCCTACAGATTTTCGAATTTCATTTATTTCATCTATCCCCTTTTCAGACCCCGAGTTCATAATCGGAAATCAAATGAAATTTTGGGGATACAACTATTTTTTACATAAACCTACGCCACGCAAATTCTCAAATTTCATCTTCAAATATTACGTTAACAATAAAATGCGGCATTCATAACAGAATTCGGCGTCTCCGGAAATACCATTCATATTTTTTATAAGAAAATTCATTGAGTCTACGATTTTGTTCTCCAATAGTGGAAGGAAATTGGAAATAAAAAAAAAATGTAATGTATATCACATTACACTAAACATTTTGTTTGCATTTATACGTGCAAAATTCGACCTGCATAATTACCTGATAATTGCTAATAATCTACTAAATAAAATCCATTATTTTGATAAATATTTCTTAATAGGTGTATATCAATAACAACAAAAAAATTCAAATGTCTAATAAAAATGTTTAAAATAATTTGTATAAAATAAAACATTAAGTACTAAATAGCAAGCAGAGCTGTGCATTATTCGAATAACAAGAGTTATTTAAATAATCATTAACGTGTTTTGTATAAGTAGATACAATATTACATATGTTTATTCCATACCTATGTATACTCGCTTTGATACATATTTATAGAGATTGCAAATCGGTTAATTAAAAATGTTCTTGGGTGCTTAAGAAAAAAGTATTTTAGTTGAACGAGTGTTTTACTGTATTTTGATTGTTAAATATTTTAATATTTTTGATTATGTAAAATGCAACGTTGAACGTGTACACAACACAAAACTTATGTTCTGCCTCATGAAGGCTATCAGAAGGTAAGGAGCTTAATCAAGCTTAAGTACGGGCTGGAGAGTGAGCGAAACAATATATGTTGAAAATGCTATGTATACTTATTTTTTTCCTTCTGAGCTCCGTTAGAAAATGTTATTATTTTATTGTTGTCGACGGCTGTTATTTATCTATCTTTATATATATAAACATGAATGTATGTTCGTCGGTTTGTCCTTTATGCATTAGTACACCATTCATCCGATCGCCATGAAACTTTGGGAAGTTGTTAAGTACACCCCCACGAAGATAACTGGCATAGTACTTTTCGAAAAATCCACCTCTAAGGGCGGCCTCAAGGCTCAAACACGAATTTTGTACTTTAAAAACGAAATATCTTTCGTTACTAACCTAATGGTAGGTGATGATAAAAGGAATAGGCCGATTCTAGGGACGCTATTAAACATAGGTCTAAAGCTCTACAATAAAAAAACCTGGAGTACTGAGTTTTTTTAATCGTATTTGTAATTATTTTACTCAACCCTCGCAAACTAAATTCCGGGCAACGCTTGTTTTGTTATAAATGTTTACTCACTAATTTGTATAATACTGCTCTGTAGATTAGTTGACTAATTAATCAGGAAAACTTAATTAATAAAATTGAAGTCTCATACCTAAAAAGAATAAAACAAACCAAAAGCATCCATCTCTCAATAAGAAAGAGGACAAAAGTTATCGTATATGTTTCGTTATAGTTTTTCTTACGAAATAAACATAATTTATAGAGAAAATTGTATACGTTAAAGCTAACACAAGTTATTATTAATTAACCTATAAAAATAAGTTGACTTCGTCGAAATTCCTACGACCATCCAGCAGAAACGACTAAATTATAGATTTATAAGGCGGTAAGTATTTGTATCTGTGTTCCAAATTTCATAGGTTCTTTTATGGACTGTTTCTTTTTGTAATTACGGATGTTAAAACTTCAACATAGCCTGGTATGAGTGCGTATAGGACGTATATGAAAAATATAAATGTAAAATGAAGGGGGAAAATGTACATGTATTGATACAACTGCTCACTAAAAAATAATATAATTAAAAATGTTAATATGAACTAAAAAATCTGTTGTTGTAATTGTATATAATTGTTAGTTTCTATAATGGGCCTACAATTAAAATTAGCCTAATTAAAACAGTTGGAACAATTAACCAGTAATAATTATAAGTATAATTTTACTATTGACTTATAAGTTAACTACATTTATAGTTTATACAGAAATAATACTGAGTGGGGCGGGCCAGACGATGCAATGGAAACTCATCGCATGCGGCAAAAACGTGTTGTGTGGACCAAAATAAAATAACAAACCTACAACAACGGTTAATTTTATTTGCCGCGTGCGGTGTCGCCGGATCGCGCCGCATCCGGTGATAATGCATCGTCTAGCCCTCCACTAAATCATATTCTAGTACCTATTAACTTTACTATAGAATTTATAAATGATATTTTCGAAATATTCCTATATTAACTATAAATAACACACTAACCAATAAACCACTGGACACTAACCACCTGTGACATTATTTTAGGAATTTATCAACTACCTATGCTGCTGGCATAATCCACACCCCATAGGTACTATTAATTAATTAATCTCTAGGCAATCGAGCTGTTGAAAATTCCATTGGCCGTCGTGCCTCGGTGTTAACACGAATCTTGTCATGGAAAAATTATTATTTTCCTTACCTTATTGTGTCGAAAATTTATCTACTAAAAATAGCGATAGAGGGGCACTAGAGGGTTGAATAGTAATTAATAAATATTTTAATATAAATATAACTATTTTCCCAGTGTTTCATTTTGAGCTTAAAATAAAAACATCGAGTCGTTAATTTAGCTGTCTAAAAATCATCATGCGTTACAGTTACACATTTTAGCTCGAAACGACAAAAGTCAGAACAGATAAATGCCAATATAAGCTTCAAAAAAATGTCCTTAATTAAATTTATTAATTATTTCAAACTTGTGTTTAATAAATCACTATTATTAAAGGACGGAAAGAGTCAAATGTTTTATAAGTAAAGATCAAATCGCGAAGTCACTTTCTGAAGTATCCTCCGAACCGATTTTAACAATTTTATTTTTGTTTTCTAAAAAATGTTTATAAGCATTTATATTTTTATTTTTTAATAGTTGTCTTCTAATAAATCTAGCTCATTTTCTAATTACTAAATAAAAAATCGACTTTTCAGCCTCAAAGAAAAATTGTAAACTTCACATAAAAAAAAAAAAAATGGAATTCATCCAATTGATACAACAGAAAATTACTTCTGTAGAAATTGATTTTTCATTGAACTTACACTATAACTTGGAGAAAAATAACTTTAAAAGTATTATAACTTAATATTTTTTCACCTTAAAATTTGTCGGCATATTGCATAAAAAATAGCTACTAGATCAAGTTTTTTGAAATATTGTCCTAGCTTTCACTCCTAAGAGCGCTTTCCGTTCACCTTAACTTTTTTTTAAAAAATGATTTAATAATTACAAGTATTTAGGGTTTTTTTCAATATAATAGATTTTGTAAAAACTTATGATCATGACAATACAGAGCTGTAATATTCAAAATAATAAAGTAATTTATTTGAAACAATGATCAAGTTATAAGTTACGAGCATAAGTTATGTACTATTTTTTTCCTTTGCTTTTATTTTTATTTTGTTGACTGTCAGCTGGAACTCCTTTTTTATTTGATAGCTTAGCTTTAAGTTGTAATAACAAATCAATTTCTGGCTGCAATACACTTTTTTCAACTTTTGATGCCTTCAGTTCCCGTACTTTGGTACCCTGTAAAATTAGTTTATATTAACGATTAAGTCAATATTTATGTATAATCATTATTTACTTGTAGAGCAATTTTTTCCTCTAATTCTTCTGCAGTTTCAGTACAGCTAGTTGCTAACTTCATTTGTTCAAAGCTTTTTTTCATTTCTAGTAGACCTTTGATATATGGTTCTAATTCACTTTTTTGTGTTCCATTTTGTTTTAAAGATCTTACCAAATCACCCTAATATCAAAGTTTAAAAGGAAATAAAAATTGTAAAAATTAATTTTATTATACAAACTTAAGTTAATTAATTATAACACAATGAGATTATTTACTAAAGTTCAAAAATCTATTACAATTTCAAATTTCAATACATACTTGTTTAGATATAGCTTCTTCCATTTTTTCTATACTTGTCAGTAATTTAACATCTAATCCAGGAGCAAATATGGTTTCTTTTTCTGGGGTTTTTTGTTTTCCTGCGAAACGACTTTTTAATTGATTTACAACAGCCTGTTCAATTTTTTCGAAAAGTGGAGATGGCTAAATTAACAATACATAATATTCATTAGTTAATATCTTTAATCAATATTATTTATTTCAGTATACTTTTCCAATTTTATGTCCAGGTTGCAAAAGGATTGACACAAAGTTATTCAGCAAAAATGTCGAAATATTGACATTAAGTTGCTGACCAATAATATTCACAGTTTGAGGCATATAAGGTTGCAACAATACTGCTATTAAACAAACCAAGTTACAGCTTAAACCAATAACTGTTCCAGCTCTACTCCTTAACATACCAAGTACAAAAATGTGTGTTAGTTAATATTTAAGTTGTATAAATGGCTTATTAATGACATTTTATATATTTTTGCATATACTTTTCTTCTGTAGATCCTTTTACAAGTACCCATGGTTTTTGAAATTGCATATATTGGTTTCCGTGACGAGAAATTGAAAGTATGAGGCGTAACCCATCTCTAAGCTTAGCTTTGTCTAATACACCGATATATTCTTGTAGATCATGGGTGACTAAAGCTAATAATGTTAGCTCATCTTTTTCCAATTGCATTTCAGGAATGATGCCATCAAAAAACTTTTCTAAGAATGATAAAGCTCTTCAACAAAACCAAATTAGAGAGACGTTAATATAGAACATGTATCAATGGTCTAGACCATCGAGGTGTAAAAATAAAATAGAATTATAATAAGTATGGTATTATCTCACCTATTACAAAAATTACCCAAGTTATTCAATAACTCAGAATTATTTTTAGTGGCTAAATCAGCCCAACTGAATGAACTGTCTTGAGACTCGGGCCTTACAAATAGTAAATAGAATCTAAAAACATCTGCAGTAAGTCCTGTATCTCGAGCGTCATTGCCAAATACTCCTATACCACGAGATTTTGAAAATTTACCATCTTCATAATTTAAGTACTCTGTAAAACGAAAACTTAAATAAAAAACAACTTAAGTATATGTAGTTATTTTTTTTTAAAAATACGTTAAATCATACCTGTAGCCATAATGTGATTTACCATAGTATAATTTTGTTCACTGGCCATAAGTGATGCTGGAAACATAACAGAATGGAATGGTACATTATCCTTAGCCATGAATTCATAATATGTTATTTTGGTATCTTTTTCCGGTTGCCACCATTTACGCCATTCTGGCGTATACGTGGCACTCATACTCATATAACCAATTGGCGCGTCAAACCAAACGTAAAATACCTGTAAGCACAACATCTAAATAAGTCTACTCTTATAGACAATAATATCATTTGATATGTTTCCAAATACCTTTTAGACTTACTTTTGATTTGAACTCATCAAGAGGCACAGGAATGCCCCATTTTAAATCCCTAGTAATACATCGTTCTTTCAACCCATCTTTCATCCAAGACTTGGTTATCACTTTTGCGTTATATGACCATTCGTCACTGTTTTTGTCCACCCATTCGTTTAACTTTTGTTCTACTTTAGGCAAATTTAAAAAAAGTTGCTGAGAATGGCGAACAACGGGTGTTTTTTGACATACTTTGCACCTAGAATTTAATAATTCGGTTGCATTGATTAAATGACCACAGCCATCACACTGGTCACCTCGAGCATCCTCATAACTACACCTGGGACAAGTTCCTTCGACAAATCTATCAGCTAAAAATCTAAAACATATTTTCAATAATTATGAGAATTACGTAATTAAATATATAGGTAATACAATATAATATATTATATTATATTGTATATTATACAAATTATTTTTGTGACTTAACTAACCGATCACAATTTTCGCATAATAATTGTTCCATAGAAGCAGTTGTAGTATAACCGTTATTATATACTTGCATAAATATCTCTTGAACGACCCTATAAAAATAATTGTTTAATACTATTATTGTTTAATAAAGCACAAATAAACTTCATTATGTTTCCTTACTCAGTTTGTTTAGGTGATGTAGTCCTACCAAAATGATCGAAACCAATGTTGAACCATTTATAAATCTCATTATGAATTTCAAAATACTTATCACAAATCTGCTGGGGTGTCAAACCTTCTTCTAAAGCTTTGGTTTCAGTTGCAGTACCATATTCATCGGTACCACTAATGTACAAGGTATTCCAACCACGCAGCCGACAGTATCTGATAGAAAAACAAGGAACATTAATACAACGAAGTATGATAAGCAATTTAATTTTACTTCACCTTGCAAATACATCAGCAGATAATACACAACCGATTATATTACCGAGATGAGGAACATTGTTTACATATGGAAGGGCTGAAGTCACAAGAATGTTGGTTTCTCCTTTAACGGGTAATCTTAAAAAAAAACGTACAAATTACATTTTGCTTCTACTATATTCTTATCTTACTGTTTATATACTACATACAAATATTCAGGAAATAAAAATAGCCCATAATTAACTACAAAGTAACAACAATTTTATTTTTAACATGGACCTGATGATACTGACCATATTATAGATTTTAGTCAGGATACCCATAGATAACAGTTACTTCAATTTATCTTGAATCATTTTAATTGTTTTAGGTTAATTGTTATTATTTATTAAGTCTAATTAAAATTGATATAATATTAGAACTTCTATCATTAACATGGGTAATGTTTTTTTCAATTAAAATGATATGTATTAAATAGTGCTCAGTTCGAACACGTTTAGAGTGGTAAAAACTAATAACACAGGTATAATGTACTTACACTGGTTCAGTAATTGCTTTACTCAAATCTTTACGACTGGATTTATTTAGCCAGGAAGTTTTTACATTCAATAATTCAGATTCTTCAATTTCAACAGACACAGACATTTTATGTGGGGGTTAATATTAAATTTAAAAGTAATAAATACTAATCGCCACAAAAATCAAATCAGATCTCAGAAATCAAGCTGACTTGACATAGAGAAGGTCTATTTCAACTATTTGGCACTCTTTCTTATCATATTTTTTAGGTTATCAGCCAGCGTTTGTTTATTATTTTAGGTTAGAAAAATATTATACGGAGTACTACTAATAATCTGCACCGGTGGCGCCACATCGTCAGATTTACGTACAATGTAGGATAAGGTGACGCCACTCAACCCTATTCTGTGACTCAACTTATTATCGGTGAAAATTAGGATGATAATGCTTCAGGCATTTTGGGTAGTTCAGCTTCGTAGTACAGGCGGCGCCACCATTCCAGCCTGGAAGCTGATATTTATTATTTTATATTCGGACGGTAAATGACAAAATTGTTAATTATTCTTTTTTGCGAATTTTTTATTATTTTTAATGTTTTATTTAGTAATAAGTAATTATTGTGTTAACTTTTAAATTGAGAAAACTGTATAAATATTAGCACGGGTATATCATATATGATCCTCAAAATTAATTAAATTAATTGTATTCTGAGCCTGTCTTTGTCCAGGACAGTTATTTACTTCATTATTAACTGCTCTACAAATATATAGTAGTAAAAATAAAGAAGTATTTCAATAGTAATAACTGGTCATAATTTCCAGTTCAGAGTAATAGAATAAAACAACAATTTTAAAACGAGTAATAATTAATAAATTGAAATAGAAATAGAAGTAGCGAATCTATACGAATTAATTACACATTAATCAAAACATAATCTTTTAAATTTTATTAGGCATATAAGAAATATCTTTACTGTATATTAGGTCTGGCGTTCCAAAAAAAAAAAAAATTCAATTTTCCAATATAGTTTTCCTTCTATCTTGAAACGCCAGACTTTATTTTATAGTCTATGTCTATATATATATATATAAAACAATTAATCAGTGACGTCGTGGTTTTTTTAAAACTTTATGTTTGTGGCCTTAAAAGAGAGGCCAAGGAAGGACGATAATTTCCTTAAATGATCAACAAAATATAGTTAAGTTCGTAAGGATTATTGGGTAGTTCTTCGATGTGCAAATTTATTGTCCACCATAAACTTAACAGTACATCAACAACCGTATTATTAATTAGATATCACATTTATTAAAGGTCATGTCAAGTTATTCGAATGTACGGAATGACATTTATGAACTTTCAAACGTTGTTTCGGTAAAATGATAAAAAATGCACTTTACACATCCAAGCGCAATACCAAAGTTCGAATGATTTTTTCATGCGCCAGGGTTGATGATGTGAAAAGTAGCCATAGGGAATTTATATAGGCAATTTTCAGCCGCTGTTTAAAAAATGATGTAAAGTGAGAAGGGGAAGAGGCTAATCTGGAATTTGTAATACAGACACAATCGTTTTTTAAATCATAATTCATAGAAACAGAAGTATGTTCCTTATTTTAACATAATCTAAAACTTTAAAACCTGTTAGCATGAGAAATATATACACATATTAAAACTGATTATTAACAAGTATAAAAAACCTCGTTAGTTTTCCCTTGAAGGAAAAACGTTGGATCATGAATATGTCTATTTGTCTATTAGTCTATACAGGATTTGGTTTATTTTGGAAACACTTTTGTCTTCGGCCCATGTCTTCGCAAATTGATGACGAGCCGTCATAGAAAACATCTAGAAGTCATGGTGATGCAAGGGAGATCTGTCCGGCGCTCAACTACTTTTGGCCACAAAACCAGATGACCTGCATATCGCAAACTGCAGTTGTTTTATTTCAACCGTAAAGGTGGGTAATTCTTTTTTACATGAAACAATTTAATAGGTATAGTTTAATCTCAGAAAACCAACTCAATGTGTTATGAAAACACAATATATTTTATACATGTTGATATTTTTAATTAATAACATTACACAAAGGAAGTGGATTAAAAGTGTAAGGCGTGAAAATAAAATGACCAGATAATTGTAATTTGATAATATAAAAGGAAATTTATAACAAGAGTTTTTAAAGATAAAAGTTATGAACGATAATATGTGAAGCTTCAAATGTGTTTAATAAATATTTTCTTGAAAAATAATATTAAAACTGTAATGTTTGATATAAAAATAATAACAAACTCCCTTTTTAAAAAAGAATGAAGGATAACCTATCAAATGGCGGTTGAAAAAAATTAAAATATATTTTTTTGGTTTAGCAATACCCGTTTTTTGCACCTTTTAAGATGTTTAATATTATTTGATTAACACGAGGAATATATAATTTCACAGTACAAAACATTTTCATTTAAATAATATTCAACATTATAATTTTTTTAAAAAAAAAAAAACTTAAATGCGAGAGAAAAATTATACCATACCATCAAAATGCCGTGCATTTTTTCAAGCGTAAGCTTTCTGAGAGTTGCTTTGCGTTTAACAACGCATTACCAAGGTATCGCGACAATCTAAAGTCAGACTTGGCTACATGTACGTGGGTACGTTTTTTACTGCAGCTTATTTATGTGTTTTTCACGGCCTCAAGTGTTCTATTCCCCTTTACTTACAGTATTTGCTGTTGGAAACTCCGAATTATTCGCCGAGTCGAGATGCAGCGTTTTCCTGTTGTCGCCAACTGGAAGAGCGGTGTGCGGTCGACATTGGTAGTTGGCTGTCCATGGTCAAGCACAAGCTGTTTCGCTTTTCCCTCAATTCAGACGTGGACGACTTGGACAGGCAAATCGTTCACGCCGACGCACTTGTGTACTTGGGAAGCTTAACCGCGGCTACAGTGGAACCCATGTCGGTGGGCACGGCTGCAAAGGCCGTCTATGGAATGAGCCGAGCTTGGAAAATATACCAACAGAGTTACGCAGCGGTGTTGAAAGTGTACAGCGCCATTTTCGACGTCGGTAATGTTATAATTAAAACACAGTTTTGTGGTTAGGAATTAAGTGTGTAATTTTTTTTTTGGGGGGGGTGGAGAGCCGTGAGGGGCGAATAGTTTGGCGTAGTGCTTACTCCAGGTGACGTTCGGCAGCTGAAGTTAAGCGGCGTCCGTCGTATCAATATTATATGTTTTTAAACGCAATAAACAGTGTATCATTATGAACTAATAATTATATTTTTCAATAATTATCTTTCAAAACGCGGTCTTCTTGAAAATCATTATACGTTTAACTTGAAAATATGTAGTCAGCTTGAGCACAACATAATATAATATGCCTACAATCAGGGTATTCATACTCGTTTCCAAACCACCTGTGAGGTAGAGTACTTGGCTCGTTTTTTTTTTGACGTGGTATCTCCGTGTACGATGATGTTTCGAATTGTATATAGTGGCATCATCGTACACAGACCTAATCCACGCAGTACTTGACTTGGTAGGGACGGGTGGGGGTGATAATTATTGATTGACAATAATTATTACTAGTTTAAATTAACTAAACATTTTTTTTAATCCAAATTTTTGCTTTCAATTCCGTTAAAAGCACGTTTATAAGTTATTCCATGGTTTGACAGGAGTTAATTCTGGACCCTTGTGTGGTTTGTTTTTAATTATTAATAATTCACTATACTACTTTTTTTTCTTATATTTTTTTTTAATTTTTTTTTTAATTTTTTTTTTTTTATTTTTTTTTTTAATTTTTTTTTAATTTTTTTTTTTTTTTTTAATTTTTAATTTTTTTTTTGGTTATGTTACTCTACATATATTATGCGTTAGGACTCTAAAAATATTTCAATCAGTCTAAAATAGTTGTCAAGGGTTTTCCAATAAGAGCAGGTCGATGTTGAAATGGAATAAAACACGCTGCTGTGTGTGAGGTATTAACGAAATTCTTGATTTATTTGAATATGACCCGTATATGCCATTTTTTTTATGAAATATGACATTGTTTTTCAACAATGTCATATTTCCGCCGCGGCTTCGCACGGTGGCACGGTTCCGAGAGGTCGAATTTTCAATGACTCTGCCGCATAGATCCGGCTGAATTTGAGCGATGACTTGGGTCGTGTTGACTTTGCGGGTATCGGTCGATTGCGGCATAGACTTGCCAACTCCAGAAAACATCAGCTCGGTCAAATCGCACCATCTCGGTGGCCAATTCACGTGACCTCGGCGAGAGATAAAGATACCTTCAAACCGGTTATGCAGAATGTTCATCGTAGCGCCGTACTGCAGGAACCACATGTCGCCCACGTCCATGTGGTTCATAAAAAAAATTGGTTATCATTGGTTACGACACTAGGATAAGACCGGCGTCTAGTCTAACCTAGTGTCGTAACCAATGATAAACAATTTCTTTTAGCCCGAATTGAACTGTACGGACGTGGACTACGTGTGGTTCCAGCGAGCAGAGGCCACGATGGACCTTCTGCACAGACAGTTTGAACGGGCATAAACGCGTATATGGTTATCTCTCGCGGTGACGTGAATTGGCCACCAAGACCGTGGCCACATGACCCAGCTAGACGTTTTCCGGAGTTGCAGGTCTATGTCGCAGTCGACCCCACCCAAGCCACCGCTCGAATTCAGCCAGATCTATGCAGCAGGTCATTGAAAATTCGACTTCTCGGATGTCATATTTTATAAAAAATGGCATATACGGGCCATTCAAATAAATCAAGAATTTCGTTAATAACTCACACGCGGCTTGTTTTATTCCATTTCAACATCGACCCGCTCTTATTGGAACACCCTTTATAACTAAAAGTGATCTACAAGTTTTAAACAAAAAAAAGTGACAAGGCCACTCGACGACCTCACAGCTCGTCACACTGGTTGACGAACTTGTCAACAACATGAACAATAAGAACCGCACAGCTGCCATATTCTTGGATATGGAGAAGGCCCTCGACAGGGTTTAAATTAATCATCTAATTTGCTCCGATCTGGAAATAACCAATTGTACTTTCATTTGTGACACTCTGGTCCAAGACACTCATTTAACACCAATTTCATAAGATTGTTCATAATAATTACCTTTTATAAAAATCCAGCACAAAAACAGGCTTTCACAAACTCCGTCTAGCTGGCGGCCCACTGTTCTCTTTGCCCGACTCCACAACGACCGGACGCGTGATCGGGTTTTGGGTCCCTGAGGAGAATTATTAGTCAGTGTGGCCCGACAGGGGATAGGTCCTGGATAAATCCGAAACAGACATAGAAGTCGTCTGGGTCAAATCCTAATAAGCATATCAAAAGTAAATACATATTCTATTTAATTTATAATAATTTTACACATTTGACCAAAAAAAAAGTATAGTTTATTTATAAATTATGTTTGTGAACTATGATTAGCAATCTATCACGTGGATTTTATGCTAACAATCACATCTCTGATAACATGAAGTATAATATAAAATGCCTATAATTTTAAACTAATCGTACAGACATAGTATATATTATCTGTATATACTATCTGTATATACATACTGAATAAAAACAAATTTAAATGAATACAAAATTATCATGATATATGAGATTTACAAATCACACACTCAAGCATATATAACACATTTTCGTTATGATTTGAGCCAACTTAATCGCTTCGAGAGTTCGAAAACAAAAATAAACTCATGTTACATCATACGACTACTTACTGCGGTCATTTTTGTATTTTCATTTTTCTTGGCCCCCGATAGCCGTTCGTTGATGTATTTATAAACATGATGGGTATAGATAAACCGTTTGTCATTTAGAATGCTTAACAGGAATGAGGTTACTCTATCCTCAGCAGTATACAAGATCATTGTGTTATCATGCGTAGGGTTGTCATCTCGTGCTAGTGGTGGTTTGTTATTGTTAGTTGACTCGCCTTCTACATTCGTTTCAACGTCAGATTGTTCATCGGTTTTCGGTCCGATTTGTGGCGGTGTAAACATGAACTATATTTTAAAAAAAATAAGGTTAGATTTATAATATTGTATTCAACTTTCTACAAGCGAATTACGTAACGCCATTCTTATATTTATAACCGTTTGACCATTAAAAATACAATTACATTGTTATAAATACCTCATTTGAGTGGTCGATGGACTGTTCGATAGGCGTAACGCGGTCCATAGTTCCGTTCTGTTCCATTTTTCTCTGTCTGTTTCCTGTAACTTCCACCAAAATGTTCTTTGTGAAAACGCTTTGATTTAACTCACGTGAAGTCGAAATATTTTCCACAAAGACAAGCTGTATTGTTAACGTTAGAATACTAGAAAACTTCGCTATACCGTTGTTAGACGATGTATGAATGGTAAATAAATAAATTATTACAGACTATAGTTATGGTTACGAACGAGTTACTGACTAATTTTAAACTATTAAAATTACATCTAAAACACACAAAAAAACTCTCCCCCCCTCCCGTGTCGTTTAAGGGCACACAAAATAGATATTCCTTATACATATCTACTCGATTTGAAACTCGATCAAAATTATAGCCGTTTTAATTTTAGATTAGTATTGTAACAACTTATAAAAAATTAAATTTTATTTTCCAACGTTTAATTCATTTATATTTGAGTGCTAAAAATTATTTAAGAAGTCCTTACAGTAAAATGCATTGTTTTTGGTCTGTAAAAAGTACAATGATAGAGTATAATAATTAATAAGAAAATCGTTTATTGCAATAAAATTCCACTTGAGTATGGTTATTGTATATTATTAAAAATGATAACAAGTTAAATAAAACACATAAAGTTAAAATTTGTATGTTTAATATCATATTACTTATTTAATTATGCGAATTTAACAGATATCATTCTCAAGATAAATTACTCCTCTTTAATTAAACTAAGGTTAACGTTTTTTTTATATATTCTGGCTTCTGCGGATTACGTGTAACACACAAGTGTAGCACATTACTATTGTGGCAATATTTTAATACAAGATGTGACATTCTTCATTATGGTGTAAAAATATTCCTATATAAATGGCGCTGATTCCATTCTTGATGAGATACTTACAACTAAAATATGACATAACTAGAGTTAGCCAGTACAAAAGTAAAAAAAAACACTCCATACGCGTATATAGACAACTACATTGCCATTTTCAATATGTACAAGCACAATTTTTGGGAATTATAACATCTTTGGGTAATCCTACTACAAAGCGACCAACTAAGAGGACATCTGTATACCGTGTGTCAAGTGTTATGGGTTAAAAACTAAAATAAATTTAAGACAAATAAAAAATCTGAACAAAATCCAATCAAACCGCTGATAACGTATAGCGTTTTGTCTTATCTGAGTCTGATAATAAACTGTATTACGTTTAAGTAACAACTGTTATTAGTTAGTCAACTGTTATTTACTGTTATGTCCATCCAACTAAGGCAAATACACCAGTTAAAATCTAAAAAAACAACAGTATTTTTAAATTATATATGCCGCGGTATATTATGTAGACACAAAATATAAATAAGTACTGGTGATGCAAATCAGCAAATATCATCCCTAGGAACACGATATCTGCATCGTTTCTAGGATTTACGCGTAGGTAAGGTTGGGTTTGAATTAGAGTAATAAATATCCTCCTTACACAAGCGCTGCTTAATTTTCTGGGCCGTTAGAAATTAAAATAATTGGGAAAAAATGTGCGTATTAATATGTATTAATTGTTATGTAAAGGCGTGATAAAGTGTGTACACTCAAATGGATAATATTTACCTACTATTCAAAAAGGCTCCGGCCTCCGTTTATTAAGTCAGGGATACTCCTTACTCATTTAATTTTCCCCAAAATAGCTCTCCGGTCCTCCGTTTTAACAAACCCTACTTTCTAAGGCCCTTTTAGTTACCATACGATAAGCTTAATCTTGTAGAAATGTCTAGTTTCACTTAGGGTTTTTTGGAAACTGATTTTTTTACAAATAAATGTTCGTACAAGTATTCTTCAGAATAACTATAGTATAATATATCGCCGCCCCGGTAGAACAATGACACAGCTGCAATAATTGAAATTTTACAGGAGAACCAAAAAACCAAATTATTTTCCCTAAAATGTTAATAATTCATGAATGCATAATTAATTATGAAATTGGGGCTTGGGAAATTTTCACAATATAAGTCCACTAATAGGGCTACATTTTTTTGTTCGCTATATCTAAACACATTGAAGTATTTAATCCATTTTACCAAATTTTGCAGTTGTGTTATTGTTTTACCGGGGCGGCGATATCATAAACTCAATTTTAAAAACTCACCTGATGCCTAAAATTCGTTATAGGACGGGGGGGGGGAGGGTTGCTGGTTAAGGACAATTTTTTTCTTGTGTAATAAAGATTGTATATAAGGTTATTGGTATACAAGGATTGTCATCAGTTGATCAAAAACGTCTTTGTGGGTTAGGAATTCCGAATTAGGATAAATACGTTTTATTAGACTACAAATACGAATATTGTTGTTTTAAAAATAATTTATTATCTATAGCCATGTATGAAAATGAAATTACATGTTATATGTATTTATTAAGCAATACAAATGACAAACATATTATAATATGAAAAAATCCTATTATATAGTTCCATAAAACGTCGGCCTCCGGGCGAATGGTGGCGCTATCTACGTGACACAACCACAATGCGGTAATTTCGAGCACCACTGTTTTGGTTGGAGTGACGTCACCTTATCTTCTGTACATCGTGGATTTATAGTATCTTTCATTGTAGATATATGGGTCATTCACATTATCTATTATTATTAGTTGTTTTATGTTTATAAATAAACTGTAATAAATAAGTAATAATTTAAATCACAAAATATGATAAAGTTGTTGGTTTCTTCACCATCCACAGATATTCATATATTATTTCACGTATATTTGTGGTTTTCTATTAGTTTATCCGTGAAAAATGGTTTTACGGGGGACAAGTATGTGAAGGCTGTATGCCTATATTTACAGGAATTTTAATATACAATTATTATTCGTAAAAATTCATTTTTTTCCTTTTTTAATTTGTTTATAAAAAAATATTAAGTATAGATATCAAACTAATCAAAACGCTACGTCATAGATAAATTTCTTCTCTATACATTGTAAACATTTAATTGATCAGCTGATTACTAATCGGCCTCGCATACTTGTACTTTTGAAAATAATTGTAATTTATTCTATAGAAATGACTGTGATAGCACAGAATAGATAATCTGATACAATAATAGTCTGGCAAAAAAAAATGGCAATCACTTAAGATTCCTCATTGTTGTATTAATAAGTATACACTATAGTTTAAGCACTAAATTAAGATTTTGCGAAAAATTGCCTATACTTTACTTCTTAGAAATAGCGGTAAGCTTTACTAACTAGGTTAACAAACTTTTTAAACGTTTCAATTACTTTACTGAAACTAGATAAAAATAAAATTCATATAATACCTTTATAACAATTTTTGAAATTGAGAATAAGTTTTACATGATAAAAATTAAGCGTCAATTAAGTAGGTATAATGGACATTATGTCAGCATGATATTATGTACCTATTAATTTACAAGTGAAGTTTATTTTAATTCGGTAGCTTCTAAATTAAGAATTACAATATTAACTCGATCATTATTTAGGCATTTCCCTAAATAGATATTTGTATAATTTTGGTTTTGAGAGGCCCTAGGGCAACGGATTTTCGTCCTACGCGTCCATTTTTCAGGATCAAAATAATATTTGTGCAAAATTAGTGCAGCCGTTTAAACGCACATAACAACATACTTGGATACCAAATACCATTGATTATAAATACAATGAATTTGCAACACGATCTTAGTTCTTGTTTATAATCAATGATAGATACATAGGTGCACTAATTTTTATATAATATACAAATAATACTTATGGTTGTGGTGTGGCGTATAATTGACGGTCAAACGGGGTATGTCATATGAGTATTTTAGTAATATTAAAATATATTTTGCTATTTTTTGCCGGTTTCACTAGTGATATAGCTCCAATTATACATACTGATTAGTGATTACTGACATAATTTCTAGTTTACAAAAAAGTAATTGAAAGCGATTACTTATTTTTACCATAATCAGTATTATATTTATCAATGTATAATAATAAGCTTTATTAAACAAATAATGCATATTCACTTTTAAATAAATGGAAAATACAGGATGATAAACTGAATCAAATAACCTATGAGAAGTCTCCATTAACATTTTAAAAAAGCCAGCTCCTTGTTTTCAGGAAACGCAACCCATTATGCAAGGTAACCACAGCGGTAACCATTTTGTTATCAACGGTAAAGACTAGAGAGCTAAAATGTATTCAGATTTCAGTATTAGTCGGGTGCAGCTAACTTCATAGATATAATTTGGTATTTATTTTAAATATTACTCCTTTACTCAATTGTAAAAGTTTCTCGCTAAGTCAGAACTATTGAAATCGTGAAAACACTAATATAACCCGTTGACGTAAATTAAATGCAATCAAATGACAGTCGGTTGATCTCGCTTGAAGACGTGTTCTAAAGCAGTTCATTACGGATACACTGCTGTGATGCCTGTCAATTAGAACACTTGTCTAGGAGCTTTTAGTATTAATTGTGGTCAGACATTCTCGACACTCTTCGTGTAGTTTTAGCTTTGTTTTGATATTTTTAGCGGTATAACTTATTAAAAAAATGAGTGTGGTTCAAGGCGGTCTCAGCAAACTGAAAAAGAAACACATCGGTGTAAAGAGGCAAAAGGTCAAATTGTTTCGTGCAAACGAACCGTTGCTGTCTGTTCTCATGTGGGGTGTCAACCATACTGTATGTATAAAAATATTGTATAAACTACACTAAGTAACATTAACTAAATATCCTTTTATATTTCCCATCTAATACATTGAAATCAATGAAAAAGTGTCTGCTCTTCGGAAGTGTCATTTATTAAAAGAGATATCTTTCTTGTATATGAATTTTTGTGAAAGACTTTAAGAGAGGTTACACTGGTATTATGACTGTTCTTGCTTATGTAATTGACTGTAAATGTCTACCAATGTATACTCTACTGGAATTTAATAATAATAGTTGTATAGAAATATATATATATATATATATATATTCATTTGTATGCGACTTTTTTAAATATTGATTAGTATATTGAATCTGGCAGTTTTAAATCAATTTGACCATACCTAGTTGTGTTTTAGAAAAAAGTGGTAGTTATCGGTGAAATTACCAAAAATTAAAAATGTATATTAGAAAAATAAATAGAAAGTTTTTATTAAATAGTTTTATGTAACATATAGCTGTTTTATTAAACAAGTTAAACGTCTATTTAGTTACCAAACTCATTAGTGGTGTTGAAATATTTATCTTGCCTAATTATAATTCAAATTTATTATTATTATTTAGTTTTGTTGTATTGAAATTGTTATACTATAATACATTTTTTCTTACGTTAATGAGAATTATAAACCTGTTTAAAATAATAAGTGGAGTAAATTCAGTAATCAGCTTATTGACAATAATTTATTCTTTTATAAGGCTCACTAATTTGAATAAATGTATTTGAAATAATTAGCTCAACAATATTGTTTCACATTTATTATTATTATTGAGACAGTGGTTAGTTGAACAATTTTAAAGTTTCAACTTTGGACTTTAAATAATATGTTATACTTTTAACGTTTTATTGGTATCGTTTATTTACTTAAATGTATTATACTTATGTTATTTCATTTTACTAGGTAATTACTTTTTATTATATTTTGCTAGGCTGTTTTTTAATTTAGTGTCGGTGTACTAATATATTTAATTTTTATAAATTAATTTTTTTGTTTAATTTATTTTTAACGATTGTATATAAATTTAATCGGTGCAAAGTAGCATAATATTTTTTTACAAATTAAAACTAACATTTTTTTTTTGGTTGCTTACAGATAAATGAATTGAGTCATGTAACAATACCTGTAATGTTGCTGCCTGATGATTTTCGAGCCTATTCAAAAGTCAAAGTTGATAACCATTTATTTAACAAGTTAGCATTATTTATTTTTTAAATTACTTTTAGTACTAAAAAAATGATGTTATAAATAAATTGCTAAAATTTGATTAATTTTAGAGAAAACATGCCGAGTCACTTTAAAATCAAAGAGTATTGTCCACTGGTATTTCGTAACCTTAGGGAAAGATTTGGCATCGATGATCTAGACTACAAAGAATCAATGACACGGTAAAAATTGTAGTTTTACTTATTTATGTTATATTTGTTTTATTTATTTCATAATTATATAATGGCTTTTATGGCTATAATTTTTAATCTTATGGAATTTTTTTTGATTAAAGACCCAAGAAGTATAAGGTGTATTGTATTATAAATATTAAATATACACACTTATAACAGTTAAAAGGGGTGTTAGTAGAGATAAGAGAACAAAGTCGTATCCAGTAGTTTAGTTTGAAAAGCATTTCACCGAATAAAAATGTTGTATAGGTACAAACCTTGTGGTTTGCCTGTGTAATTCTTGGTTATTTTTGGTTTATTCTGTAACAAATTGTATAGTTTCTCAAGAGACTATATATTGAATATATTTTGAGTACTTATGTTTTAAATATTATTCAAATACTTAGGCAAAATTACATTATTAAATTATTGTTTCTTTAGTAATATTAAATAGTGATATGGTGATGAGAGTGATAAATTTAATTTATTTTCAAATAAAATGTTTTTTTGTTGTGAATTTTAAAAAATTGGCATTTATACATATTTTTAAGTAGGGTAAAAGATATGTTTGATTATTAAGATTTATTAAATTTGAATAAGGATAGACTAAAAAAAATACTTGTACCAATTTTTTACCTGTTTGGTGATTTTATGTAAATTAGGAGGCACCTAAGTTGAATGTTATACAATGTATAAAAATATCGGGTACAGTTTTGAATCGTGAGGAACAAGTCTTAGGTTTCTTAACTTTTAGATTTCATTAAATACTAGCATTATAGAAATTCTGATTTATAGACTCTCTATAGTATAGAGGTAATAAAATTACTATAATATAGATCTATTAATCTTTATAAAATATACCTATCTACTTTTTAGATTTTTTTAATAATAGTTAAAAAGTGTAACTATGTATAAATACATTTATATGTTTTAGTGAAACACACATAAGACATAAGACATAATCAGTTGTAAAAAATAACGAAATGCATATATCTAAAAAAAAATTATTTATGAAGTTTTCATAATTTTACATTTTATAGCCAAAAAATGCTGTTGACATTGTTTTTAGACCATATTGAAAACACGCTCATTTGAGTTATTTATATTCTATCTCTTATAAGAACGGCAATGGGCAGAAATCAAAACGCTTTACCTACATTTGCACCTGTGCAGCCAGGAGTGATACGTTTTGGTTTTTGTGCTCAAAAATGATTTATAAAATACAAATTTGATTACCGTTATATCATTGTTATTAGTTTTGATTTTTCTGCAATAATGGTTATAGCTATTTGTGGTTATTACTACAGGTTCCACTTTAAACTTTACCTAATTATTATTTTACTTCTATAGAATTTGTAGAAATTAATACTGAGTGTTAAGCATTAATTATGTCATAAAATAATGCTATTCATTTTTTTTTGACTCATTGAACATATAATTATTAATATTATAATACTATTTACCAAATTTAGTATTTCATATTTGTTTACTGAATTTATCTGTGTTTAAGTTATGTCAAATGGCTTAAGATGAATTTATTTTAAATAAAATATCAAGGTTTTCCGAAGAAAGTAGTTATTGCTGTCGCAAAGGTCTACGTAGATCTATGACCATGTATAATCGAAGATCATTGACAGCACCTAATTTACAATTGGAAACAGTTAACTATAACCCTAAGAAATTGAAAATGTATGGTTCTTTAAAAAGAAGGTACAAGTAATCCGAGGACTAACAAAAAGTGTGAACGCATTAAATAATAATTTTTTTTTTTTAATATTTAAATAATTGTGTATTAACTAATAATTACAATTTTGAAATATATGATTGGATATGTGTAATGTATTGTCATTCTTTTTATTAGATTTTAGGCAAACTAAACTTTTCATTTTTATTGCCTTATCTCGAAGAAGTGATATTTCTGTGCACACCATTTCCTGGTGCAGTACTAACTTCTATAGTTAACCTTCTTTAATTTTATTAAGTTAATTCATTTATCAAGGCTTATTCCTAGTGCCTACCAACTACTATAAGTATCAGAAGCACAATTTCACTTAAATAAGTGGGGATGAAACATAAACAATTTTTTAAGGTATTCAATTGCTATAAAATTGGCGCCTTCTTAATTTATATCACCAATTGTTCCTAGTTAGGAATTATAATTTTTAATCTTCAAATTACAAATAAAAGTAATAATAAATCGGAATTGAATGTAGTACCAAAAACACAAAAACAGAACCAAAATGATTTAGATCCTTATGTAAATGTGGTAAAATGTTCAATCTTTGTTTATAATAAAATAAAACAAAATAATATCCAATCGGGCTTAAATTAATTTAGTATACCGCTAATAATTTTGTTAAAAATACTAATAGTATTGTAGTTTATTACTTACCATCATTATTTTTACATGTAATATTATCAATTGTATTGTAGTTTAATTTTATATACTTGTATAATTAAAGAACTACTTAGATTTGTTTGAACTAATTAACAAAATAAAATAAATAGTTATTTTTAATTTTTACATTTTTTATATTTTATAGATCACAACCTGTTTCTGCAGATGCTTCTGGTAAAAGTAATTCAGGATTTTACTATTCTTATGACAAATTATTTATAATTAAGACACTGACTAGTGAAGAAGTCGAACGAATGCACTCCTTTTTAAAGCACTATCATCCAGTAAGTAAATACAATAAGTATATTTTTTAATTATATTTTATACCTAAATGCATGATCTTCTGGGCCCTATATTTATATATTATATTGAGATACCCTACTGAGTTGTTTTTGAAAAAAAAATACAGTTGTAAGATCAATCAGTTTAAGAACCTTGAAATTGTATTTTCTACAAAATATTAATATAAAATGTGTAAACAAAAATTGTCTTTATAGTATGTTGTAGAAAGACATGGAAAAACATTGCTTCCACAGTATTTGGGAATGTATCGTTTGACTGTTGATGGTGATGAACATTATGTTGTAGCCATGAGAAATGCATTTAGCAATCATTTGGCCACTCATAAGTAAGTGTCATTTCTACAATCATCACATTTCTATTATTTTAATGTATTTGATTTTAATAAAAATAATAATAATTCAGATGAATTTCATGATTTGTTGTTAACTTATCTATTTTTAGTCATTATGCTGTGTTACTAAAATAATATAACTTGTCATATAACAAACACACTAACAAAATATTACTTGTAAATAGTTTTATGATTTAAATTATTTGTGATTTTAATATATAGTAAATCTATATATCAAAATGATTAATAACTAATTGTTTGTTAAAATAGTACTTGTAGATATTATCTTTACATTAAGGAGTTCATTAACTTCACCTATCTTACTAGTATTATGTCAAGGTGGTATTTCATTTTCTTGAGCTCTTAAAAATTGTTTACATGCTGTATAAAGGAAATTAATACATTTTATTTATCTTGAAATAGTAGTAGGTTTCGTTAGTTAATTTTACATTTACATTTATTAGCATTGTGTATAGTAGATAACATTATTCACTATATTTCAAATAGATTAATTTTATTAGTTTCTACACATTTTGTTAAATTTAAAAAAAGTTATGTGCAAATATTATTTAATTATTGTATGTATACCTATTATCCAAGCAAATCAAATTGAACTAGTTAAAGATTATATTAATTGTTTTATTATCATTACGCTTATAGTTGTGTTTTAAATAAAATACTTGTTGTTAAATTATGTTTGGTGTTGTATTTTAGGAAATTTGATCTCAAAGGTTCTACGGTTGACAGAGAAGCTTCAGATAAGGAGAAGGAAAAAGACTTGCCTACATACAAAGATAATGATTTTGTTAAAGAACGTACAAAGATTTACATTGGTGATGAAGCAAAAGATAAGCTATTAGAAACTTTAGGAGCAGATGTTGATGTAAGTAAAATTAACATTGAAAAGTTTTCAACATGTTTGTTTTTAGTAGGAAAAAAATGTTGATAATAATGACATTTACTGTTTCAGTTTTTGACTGGTTTACATTTGATGGACTACAGCTTACTGTTAGGTATACACGACTGCACTCGTGCTGAACGAGAGAGAGAGGAAGCGCTTGCCAGTGGTGCTGGAACCATAGATGTAGAAGGCGAAGAAGACGAGGACGCTGAAGACAGCGAAGGAGCTGGAAATACTGTAACATGGGCTAATACGCCGCCAGATTCACCACATAGCCTGTTAGCTCGTGACACTAGCCTATGCCAGTATGATACAGCTGCCATAATACCCGATCTCGATATTTATGCCATACCCAGCAGCGAAGGTAGTGTATTATATTTGCAGTATTGTTACTTTAGTATTTAACAATTATGTTGTTATTAGGTGCCCCAGTACGAGAAATTTACTTCATTGCATTAATTGATGTACTTACCCATTATGGTGTGAAAAAACAGGCTGCTAAAGCTGCAAAGACAGTCAAATATGGATCAAATGTAGATGGCATTTCGACTTGCGATCCCGAACAATATGGCAAACGTTTTATTGAATTTTTATCAAAAGCTATTGAATAAATATAATAAACTATAATTTTAAATTTCTTCCAGTAAAAAAAAAAAACATTTATAAATATAGTATTATTATTAATAACGCTAGATTGTTATTGTATACAATACCGCTTGCTTTATAATCACTATATTATTAATATAGATAGGAATGATCATACTTTATTTTTTACTTCTTTTGTAGAGTTTAATTAATTGCTTAATTTTGTTTTTATATTATCATAACTTATTGTGTGGCCAAAAGTTAAATCACTATTATTTTATAGTTACCTTAATGTTTAAGATTAATGTCTTTGGAAAATCAATAGTGTTTAGAATAGCACAATTTACAAAAACATTTTGTTCAAATTACTACTTGTTTTTATTTTTGTTTTTTAATTTTCACTTGAAATTATGTGTCCAAACAAAAACTATACTCTTAAAATATACAAAATTATTACACAAACAATTAATAGTTGTAATTAGTACTTTCTAATTGCTTCTTGAATATGTTGTTCTCTGTGAGTGCCATCACAGAAAGGTCGATGTGTTGTTTGTTTACAATTACACAACCAATATTCTTTAGTTTCTGCCACTTGCACCTTTACTGGTTTCATTGTAATACGAAGCTTTTGGTTTTTATGGGTGCCATCACACAACGGCTGAATTTATAAAAACATACAATTTTGAACAAATATTGAAATGTAATATATTGTAAATCATATTTTGATAATGATATTTACCTGTGTGTGACTCATGCCGCAAGAACACCAATTGTAAGTCTTATTTTTATCTAGAATCATTTTAAATGGCCTTTTGTCGTATATAACACCCATTTCAGTCTGCCGTGAAGCATTGTGAATGTTTTCTAATAGATTTTTAGGAAGAACTTCATCAATTTTCTTCGAATAGACCCTCTAAAATAAAAGATTCAGTTTTGATCTAATTGAGTATATACAACATTTAAATGTGACATTTTATATGTAAAATTGAGACGTTATTAAAAGTAGACAAAAAAAAAAATTAAATTTAACATGAGTATTGTTTATTTTATTATATTGTTTTGCAATGAAGGAAACATGTTTATAATTTAAATAGTTTTAATTAAATGGTAATTCTTTAATCATACTTTTTTAACAAATCAAATTAGGTTTTTTTTTTGGCAAGGTATACTATTAAATATACTAATACTTAAACTAATTTATATCCTCTTAAAACTTACAAATTAATTTTTGTGAACAACTTAATTATTATTAAATTAATAAACAAATATTAGGTATATAGGAATATAAAAATTCGGGCCATTTGGTAAAAATTGCAACCTAGACTTGATCTAAAAATTTAGCAATACACTTGCTTAAATATTAGGACCGTTGTGTAAAAATCGAGAGGTAATGATGAATGTTACCTTATAATAAAAATACCTACCTATTTAACGTGTAAAACATATTCGGGAAGGTTGAATAATATATTTGTATAAAAATAATATAAATAATTTATAATATAAAACAATAACCGATACTCACATGATTTAACAGTGGCCTTAACCTACAGATAAATGTATTCGTATTTAATAACATTACGGGAGGTTTTGTTCAATGAATTTTGAACAATCGAAATCACTCGGCACTTGAGCTGCAGTCCAAATGTGAATTTCAATCCTATTCCTGATTTCATAGCACAATTTTTCCGGTTTTAGTTCATCGATAAGGGTTAAGCAAAAGATAAAATTACAATTTGTGATAACATTTGAATAGGTTGAACATAGCGACGAGACGCTTATCTGACAAAAACAGCAATGACTTTTGAGTCTGTTTTTATCTTTATTCCATGGTCAGTGACCTCATTTAGGTTCTTTAATCCCCACCGCCAACTGAAGCGCTACGCAATCGCACTCAATTCGAGAAAACATCTGTTTTAATGAGCCCAGTGCAATGATTATTATTTTTCTTTTATGATTAATGATTGTAATTTTGTAGCATTGTTCACTGCCTCCACTTTGTTTGTTTTTCGAAAGCTCTATGAGTTTAAATTTATTAGGTTTTAAATCGTAGAACTGTTGTTTACCCTCATTGATTTCTTACATAGTTTGCAACCTCACTTTTCTACACAAATATTCAAGTGAAGCCGTTTTGAAACAAAATCTGACGAAACCTCTAAACAGTATTGGAAGACAGTTAATAGTTATGAGCGACTTAACTCCCGAAGAGGTACGCTTTTTGTACAAATGATACTATATAATAATAATGATACCTACCCCCAAGTTTGGTTTAATGTCTTATTAGCATTAGCTAACTTATTATTCATACCTGGTCTACAGTTAAAATCACTTAAAGATTTATAAGATAGTAGCAGAACAATAAAAATTACTGTAAGTTGCTAAATCATCTTATGTTTTGTTTACAGGTTAGGCGGCGTCGCTTAGCCCGTTTGGCTGGTGTAAATGCAGATGGATGTTTAGTTTCACGGCAAAATGATAATATGCCACCACCACCAGCTATTATTGCCCCACAAATAATTCCACAACGTAATTTTTTTTCTACTTATTTTTAAGTATTTTTCTCTCATGATTACTGATAATCAGTGATTTTATTTAATATAGAATCTAAAGACACATTTTCGGACCAGCCAGATAAAACAGTCACAACTAATGATATTCCAATGGATGTTGACGATAGTGACTCTGACGTAAAATCAACAAAACACCTTATTTCTCCAATCAAACCACCTGGGCCATCTACAAATATTGCTCCAGAAGAAGATTCTGGTTTTGAAAATATGGATGTAGATGAGCCCAAAGAAGCCAAGATCCCTAGAAGCCAAGAATATATTAAAAAAATAAAAACTGTAATGGTGAGTTGCAAAAAATAAAACTATTATTATTAGCTACGGGTTTAAATGTTATAAAAATAATGTCTTGTCTGCACACATAATAATTGACCATGTCTTTGTTTACATCATAAAACTCGAATGATGTGCTATTTTGTATGAAAACTGTAGGGAATGTTTTATTTCTTATTCTTTTCTGTATCACACACGAATAAGGATGGCCAGCCAAATTCTGTTTACAATTAATTATTGTTCGGCACCATTTTATTATTCACTCTGCCATTGCACATAGACTTTTTTTGGGCTATTTTTTAGGTATGTACCTAACATTTTTTCTTTACAACCATCGAAATAATTTTTGGATTATATTTATACAAATTAGGAGTACGTTTTATATCCAAAATTATGTCACTGCACTCCACACATTTCCATGTCTATTTATATCTAACCTCACTTTTCCTTCTTATTTGGTTTACCTTTTCCTCTAAATTCCTCTTTCTAATCTTTCTTACTAGTTTTACTATTTCAATTTTTATTTTTTTCTCTTTTCAGTATGTCCAAATCATCTCAATTTAATTTTTCTTATTTTTCCTGCTATTGGTGCAATTTTTACTTGTAATTACACCTACTATAGCTACTAGTTTCAGTATTTTCATTTTATATACATTTATTTTTCTTTCATATCTCTTATTCAATGTCGATACACTGTTATTCACTTCTATACATCATTGCTGGACCTTACAATTTTGTAAAATTGTACTGTGCCTTACAATTTTTCTTCCATTTATTATTTCTTTTGCATATCTCATCTCAAATATTAAAATTATTACTCAAAAATCTAAATTTTAAAGAGAATTAAATATCTCAAATGTATTTTTTTTGCCCTTTTTACTCTTTGACAACTTAAGATATTATTCCTTATTTGGTCACCCGAAATCTAATAAAACCATTTGAAAGCGTCACTAATAGGCCTCTTTCATTTGAGTTTGTTAGAAGCATTGCATTCTATCCCAATATATGGCCCCCGATAAATAGCGGTTCCTTGCTAAGTTTAACCCCAATGCTGAGTGGCAACTGCGGTTGACCACGACGCCTCTCCATCACCATTAAGAATTATTTATTTTCCCATTGCATAGTGTAAAACTCATATAGTGCAATATTTCTATGTATAGATATTATATATTAGTATTAACATTTAAAATGTATTTTATTTAGCCAACCAGCATAAAAAGCAGAGAAGAGATTTGCTATACAGTAGCAGTCAAAGTATTAGACGTATCATGGACGGAACCAAATGATTCAAATATTTTTTTGCCTGATACAGCTGCTATAGTTCAAGAACGAGAAAATAACTCAGAACCTTTGCATTTACCAGTAAATGTTTTCTAAAATCATTTATTTCAATGATTTGTAACTATTATTTTACGTTGATAGTAATAACTTGTTTTTACGTTTTAGGATCTCATAAGTTTAGCTATTCAAGAGTCACTCTGCTTAGTAGTGAAAGAAGATAAGTTGACCGACAGTAACAAACAACCCGAAAAAACCACTACGTCAGCAGCTTTAAAATTCTTATTCGATTGCTTAAACCGGATAGCGGTAGAAGAACAACAATACCCTAAAGTATAGCCATACTTTTCATTAAACAATTGATTAAACATATTTTAACATTTTTATTTTCCTACTATAGAGAAGTAGCTCACCACCAGTGTGTCAACTGCTGCGAGACATGAGTTTACAGTGTATAGATCACTCTATAATGCTATTGACGAATACTTGTATTTTGGATCATAAAGAAAGTGCTAGAATTTTAGAACCATTGTATTCTCCTCTAACAGATTTCCTTTTACAAGGCACATTACCCAGAGGGTTTTTAAATGAATTATGTAATCGTACATCTTTAAAGCCGAATACATTTAAAAAAGTAAAATTTTTGCAATTTGAGTACTTAATAATTATAATAATAATATAATTTATTTCTTACTAGGTTTTTAGTCCGTTATTGCAACATTTATATCGAATTATGCAATCAGCTACTTTTGTCGGTTCGACCCATCGCAGACCTATTGAAATACTCAATGAACTTACTTCATTGCCATTTTATTCAGCTAAAAATAGTTTACCTGTGTGCACACTTATTTCTCAACTGGTGAGATTGTGTATTAATCATTGACATAATAATATGTACAAATTGTACATTATGTAATTTGTATAGTAATATTGTTACTTATAACTATTGTATTTTTCTAGCCTCAATATCTACCAATCCAAATTACAAAAAATGGTGGCCGAGAGCTAACTTTTACATCATACTTAGGTCCATTTCTATCTGTTTCCCTTTTTGCTGAAGACGATCCTAAAGTGATAGATAAATTACTTAACTTTACTACATTATCTGATAAATCTGGTTTAATTTTAACACTTCGACAAGAAATGCAAACAACTAGGGTAAGTAATACTTTGAGATATTAATGACTATGGCTTAATGAAAATTAATTATATTTAGATAAAATTGTGTTGTTTCTATTATATATATATATAATTAAAAACTAGGCCGAGCTGAATAAGATTATGTACAACCTAATGGTTAATATGAGTTCTCGAGATGCTACACTGTCGTATGTTACGAAAATGTTGGTGTATAATGAAAAAAGATGTAAAATGCGAGTTGATGAGAGAACAATAGCTGGTGATGGTTTTATGTTAAACCTACTGACTACATTGCAGGAACTTTCTGTGAAAGTGAGTCATAAATAATATATAAGTGTTATTTTTAGTGTATAATAAATTTAAATTTGATAATAAAAAGAAATTGTAAATTATAAATAAAAAACAAAAACTCTTTGAATTAAGTTAAATTTAATAAAAGCAAACTAATGAATAGTGAATTTTAAATTAAAAAAAAACTATATTGTGATCCCATAGCCAACACAAAACTAATTTTTGTTTATTTATTTATTTAAAAATTCTTTTATAAATTTAAAATTTAAAAACAAGGAAAATAACTATTTCAGTTCTATAATCCCGGTACAAAAAATGAACAAGTTTACTTTTTATTGGGTAAATAAATGATTATTGAACATTAATTATCTACTTTATGAAGAAACTTTCTAAGCACTGATGATAATACATTTTTTGGCTTTTAAATGGGAATTCTGTAACTTTTTTAAAGTTATTTTATTTCTTAGGAATTCAAACAATATGAAAAATCTGTATAAACAATTTTTTAATTGTATAACATATCTTTAGATTAAAATGGAGAAGGTAGATCCGTTATACATTTTCAATGCAAACAGTTCAAATATCGATATTTCTTCTGATACAAGACTGAAATTTACCTCTCAAGAATATTCTGATTGGCTTGCAGTAGTTTGTATGTACATTTAAACTACACAAATTAATTATAATATTATTTTATTTTATTGTAGTTTATTCCTTAATATGTATGTGTATTTATAATAGCTAATTCATTCAAAGACGTCAAGTTTTCAACACGTTGTTGGTTTTTGACATTATACTGTCATCATATAGCTTTAATACCGGCGTTTAACAAACATACTAGAAGATATAGAACAGTAAGAGATTTGCAAAAATTGGTAAGCTTATGAATTGATGATTAGGCCCGTATGCCCCTAACCTGTATGGTATGCATTTATAACCAACAAGCCGCACTTAATGTATCGTAAAAAATGTGAATATTATACACATAGATATGAAATATTATTTTTGAGTAATGTAATTCCATACATCGCATATAAAATGTGTGCACTATACGTGTAGATGTGTTACGGGCCTTAAAAATTATAGCTTACAATATGACTACTTGTTGATACTACTTTTTAATAAATACACTTTAGATTGATGAAATCACAAATTCTGAATCTGAATGGAAGAGTAATCCTACATTAGCTGCTAGGAATAAAGAATTAGTAAAAAAATGGAAAGGACAACTCAGGGTAATGATACACACAATTTGTTATACATGGAATGTGTAATATTCTTGTTGTTATATATTTACAGAAATTGGTAAAAAGTAAATCTTGCGGAGATTTAGTATTATACGATCCACAACTCATTACTCGTTGCATCGTGTTTTACTCATCCGTTGCTGAATTTATGTTATCCCTTCTTCAAGGTACTCCTTATGTACCCAAATCTGATATTGTATTCCCAGCTGAAATTCCAGATATATTGGCTGCTATACCTGAGTGGTTTGTCGAAGATATTGCAGATTTTTTATTATTTATTCTGCAGTAAGTATTTACTTCTTGCTTTTTATTCTTGACATTCATTATAAATATTTAATTTATTATTAATAATTAATTGTTAACATAGATATGCTCCTAAGGCAATTGAATTCAAATTCTTCGATACATTGTTAACATGGATACTTGTTTGTATTTGTTCACCGGCCGCATTTAAAAATCCGTATCTCATAGCCAAATTAATAGAAGTGTTATTTGTGCTGAACCCTAGTATTCAACCTAAAACCGAAGTATTGAACAGTATGATGATGAGTCATCCTCTTTCAATCTCACATCTTCCATCTGCTCTTATGAAATTTTACACAGGTATTGTATATTTTTTTTTGATAATGGTTAGATATTATAAATTGAATGTTATTATTATCTAGTCATCGAGTCAACGGGAGCGAGCTCAGAATTTTATGATAAGTTTACTATTCGTTATCATATTAGTTTAATTCTCAAAAGTATGTGGGACAGTCCATTTCATAGGCGTGCAGTAATAGCCGAATCAAAGTATGCTAATTCATTTTTGTGTATGTTACTCGACAATAATTGTTGAGTAACATGTAGTACATTATTTTAATTTTTTGATATATTTTTTTTACAGAACTGGTATTCAGTTTGTTAAATTTGTAAATATGTTAATAAATGATACAACATTTTTGTTGGATGAGAGTTTGGAATCATTAAAACGCATTCATGAAGTCCAAGAGCAAATGGCTGACACAATTGTGTGGAGTAGTTTATCAGAAGAAACTCAACTAACTCGAACTCGTCAATTATCTGCCGATGAGCGTCAATGCAGGTAAGAATATATAACAATTGTAACAAGTACTAACTTATTGATGCCTTTTTAACAAGAATACGTACATTTTTTATTTTTATTGTAGATCATATTTAACTTTAGCTCAAGAGACTGTAGATATGTTTCATTACCTTACAATGGATATTAAAGAACCATTTATGAGATCTGAATTGGTGACTAGATTAACAGCTATGTTAAATTTTAATTTACAACAGCTGTGTGGTCCTAAGTGCAAGAATTTAAAAGTCAAGTCTCCGGAAAATTATGGTTGGGAACCTAGACGTTTACTTAAACAATTAATTGATATTTATTTACATTTGGATTGTGACCAGTTTGCTGCAGCTATAGCTGCCGATGAAGTAATCATTATTTATACATTTTAATTTCAATGTATTGTAATAAAATTAATTAAAACATTTTTAGAGATCGTTCCGTATGGAGTTGTTTGAAGACGCAGCCAATCGAATGTCACGCGTGTTAAATGCTCCTAAAGTGGAAGTTATGCAATTTAAGAGTTTAGCTATTAAAGCACAAGAAATTTCTATTCAAAATATTAAAAAAGAAGTAGATTTTAATGACGCTCCAGAAGAATTTAGAGGTAATAATAATCTAATGACTGAACTACTTAAAAAAAAAAACAGTTTTAATTTAATTTAATTATTTTAGATCCACTAATGGATACTTTAATGGATGATCCTGTTATATTGCCAAGTAGCGGTAAGATTATGGATCGGCCAGTTATTATACGTCACTTGTTGAATTCTCAGACTGATCCATTTAACCGACAGCCTTTAACAGAAGATGATTTAACGCCAGGTAAAATTATAATTAATTGTTTAATAACTTTCTTTTCGGTAAACGGAATTACCTACAAGGGCCAGGGTCATGGACTATCAGTAGGGTAGAGGTTAGTTAATATGTCATGAAGTTAGTTTCGTGTATCTAATAACAGGTAGGTTCTCAAAATACTGAGCGATTATTGTACCAACCAATTTTGAGCAATAAGAAATTTCGTGGACAGACAAGCATCAGTTAGTTATACTTTACCAAATTCCAGTTTTTAGACAGCAATGGAAATGTTTTTGAAGTCATTATCAATAACATAATAATTGTAGTTCATTATCCAACTTCCGTTCTAAATTAATAATTTATTTTTTTAATTACAAAAGCTAGCAAATTGGGGTCGGGGCATAGTAAAATATGAAGCATGTTAGGTTTGGGGAGGTCACAGGTCCTTAGAAGTACTATACCAAAAACAGTAAAGTCACTTTCAAATAAATGCTTGATGCAAAATTGTAAGTAGTAAAGCTATTAAATAAATAACATTTTTTGGATTTTATGAATAAAAAAAAGTGACACAGATTTTTGAACTTTTTATATATTTTTTAGTCACTTACAAACTCGTAGGTAATTTTCTCAATTTTGAAGGGGAAAGGGTAAAATTTTCAAATTTTTGAACCAATAAAGTACTTTTTGCTTACGTTTTCTGACTTGCTACACAAACAAATCGGTCCAGCAACTTAAAAGATATCATGGGAATATACTTTTGATATTTATAGTTCTAAGAAACTTAACCATATAGTAATAAAAAATTAATTATTGTTTTGCAGCTGATGAACTGAAACTAAAAATTCAAAATTGGAAGATCAAAAAACTGAATGAATTATCTCAGTAAACTATTAAAATATTAGTACCAAGTTAAATTCCTTTTAAATATTTACCTCGAGCTACTTTCCTATAATAATATTAATAAAATAAAAAAATAAAATAAGAATATAATGTGATAAAAAATAAAAATAAAATGTGTTCTTGACATTTTTTAAAGACTTTTAGAAAATATATAAAATCTTTATACTTGTACATAAAACATATTATAGAAGTATATAAATGTATTCATTTATGAGATTAAGTTTGGTATTATATTTTAATTATTATTTTTTAGTGTAGTATAGATTCAGTATAGATAATTGATTAATAATTAGTGACAATAAAAAGTCCACAAGTTTTAATAAATTTATCAGTAAGTTTATTATAATTTGTAAAATAAAAAAAGTTCACAATTTGTTTTCCATTTTATGTAATTTTCAATTAACAAATATTACATAGAAAATGTACAAACTTACATTCTAAGAATTCACATTGCTTAATGAAAAATGTATTGTAAATAATTGTAAAATATTAAAATAATAATTTTTGTATTATAATTTTTAATATTTATATCATAATACATACACTAAGAAATATATATTCCGCTACATATTATTAAAATTGACTAAAGATGACTAGTTCTTAGACTAAAACGTTATTATAATGAATATTGTATTATAATGTGTGAACATTTGATACACTTGTATATGTAGATATATTGTAGTTTTTATGTTAGCAGTCTTAAACTCAACGCTATATAATACTACATTTTTATTATTTAAGTATAATCTTATATTTTATACAACTTGTTGTGATATGTTATTTTCAATAAAATATAATGTACAGTTAAAATACATTTTTTTAAACATAATATACATGTATCCATCTTTCTCTCTCTTAGTTTAGAATAATTGTTTTTTTTTGTTGTCAAACCGTTGCAGTCTAGTTGAGATCAAACCACTCAATTAAACATGTTTGGACTTTTTAATTTGAGAATTGATGATATATTATTTCAGGCTGCATTGTTGATCTATTGTGTTGTAGTCTACTTAGATGGCATGCGGCTCAGATTTCTCAGGAACAGGCGGTATATCAGATTTAATCTGCAATAAATATTATAAATATATCAACAAATTGTTACGTTAAAAACTGAAGATGTATCAAATATTAAATACTTAAGTAAAATTAAATGGGTAATAATGGAATTTTAATTATAATTAGAAATTAGTTTTAATCGTTTGATTTCTAATTTTACAATATATCCTAATTATATCTAGTTTTACATTTTATATAGACATTACTTCACTTATAAGTCGAAAAGAATCGGAAGAAAAAATCGCATTAATTAGTACATCAAGTCTATTTTGTACCCAAAATAAAATTTGGAAATGGTTTTAAATTTTTCTCCGTTTTGGATCAAGTTTTTTTTATTATCAATTGAAAATATGAATGATGAGATTACTTCATAAAAGTATCTTTGTAAATAAAATAGATAGGACTTTTTTCTTTTACCCTCGACTATCAACCAACACCGTTTGGACTTAAAGCGTAATAAACTATTCTACCTTAATTATTGTTTGTCATATTAGACAATACCTGTTTTTAGATTATAACACCGTACCTTTAGATCGCTGTCGAGAAAATATCCGATTTGATGGTATTCTTTGCCGGAACGAGGTTTAAGCGTGGTCTTTGTTGCCGGTCGACCAAATCTGTGTACACAACGAATAGAATAATCGTTTGTAATAAAATTGTAAAATTTTAAAGACTACATGGCTAATAAATTGACGGCGGAATTACTTTAGATTTTCGTTGTTGGTGTCCGACGAACTGTGTGATGACAATGATAATGTTTCTATGTAATCACTCATGTCTGATGTACAACTGCTCGTGCTTTGTGAATCCAAAAATGGCACTGTCGTGTTCCCTTCCGCGTGTACGCTACACCCTAATAATATAAGTGACAAATTATTTTTTAGATAAACAGTAGAAAAAAACCTCGATTTTAATAAAATAGAATATGGTGAGCTCTTTAGGTACCTTTGTCTTTTTTCATGCAGACCGGCACCTCGGCTCCGGCGGATGACGATTTCATTGGTCCGTTGACTTTTTGAAATCTAAAGCTGAGTTCCTTGAGCCGCTCCGTGGATTTGGACCGTCTAGGAAGCGAACCGTGTACACAACCACCGTTGCCGTAGGACGACGCCTTGTCGCCGGCTACCGTTTGCTTGTGCCGCATTGTTGACATGGCAGTAGTCAAGGGCAACTCGAACTCGGCGAATTCGGCTCCACGATACCGCAACGAACCGGTGGACACTCCCGAATCGTTGGAACTGGACGAATCCCGATTGTTCTTACACGGTACGCTGGACGACCGACGTATGTGTACTAGCACGGCGGCCTGCTGATCATCCCGGGAAGCTCCGCCGGGACACTTGACGATCTGACTGGTCACGCTTTCGGCGGAAGACGTGTTCACGGACGTCCGCCCGCTGGACGGTTGTTCGGCCGTAGCAGCCGCCGACAAGTTTTCTCGTTCCACGTCGTCGTCTTCCTCGTCGTAGTCGTCGTATCTGTTGCTGCTGACCGTGGTGGACGATCCTGCGGAACTGGACCGCTTACGAGGTTCGTCCACTCGGTTCAGAGTCTTGTTCACCGGCGTGCCGTCGCTCTTGTACTCGTTCAGGCTCGGTATGCTGGCCGACTTTTCGGCCAGGCCCTTGTTCAGCACGTTCTTGAGCATATCCCGTTGCGCCGTGGCAGGTGACATGGGAAGGTAGCCGGGAAACAGATTGCGTTTGGCCTCGACCATTCGCCCGTTAACCGGTTCCATCGTCATGTAGTCGCCGCCGCATCCGCTCTCGTCACGACCCTTATTATGGTGGCCGCATTTGTCACATGGTCCCGACGAAGCGGCCGCGACCGGCGCCATGCCCGCTTTGGTCAACACGTTTTTGGCGTTCTCGTAGTGGCAAAGCGATTCGCTGAATTCCAAATTCATGTAGTTCTCCGCCGCTCTCCGGTCAGCCGTGGTCGTCATAATCGACTGTGCCGGCGGCTCTAAGTTCATGTAGTTAGTGCATTTTTCAGTGGGTTCAGCGTGTTTTTTCTTTTTGGAAACGTCCACCGTCGCGTAAATGGCCGCGTTGTTGTTGACCTGACAGTGGTGAGCCTAAAAATGTCAACATTGTGTGTTATTTTTCCGTAAGCCAAAAGTTAGCATAAAGAAAACAAATCAACATCAGATTTACAACAGTGCACACCAGAGGGTATTTGCGCGGCCGATCACATTTGTGTGGGATTTGGCGCGGAAAACGAGAAGAAGATCTGCGATTTAAAAAAACCGAGCTTAGCCTAAATTTATCAAAAATGAATTAGGCAACTATTTGCTTTGTGAATACTTGATTATGTTCCGCGTAAAGCGAAGTATAGTTTATTTTAGAAAAATATTGTGCACGGGCGCTCCAATAGTCAGATAAAGCTACCTTTTTGTACTCGTATTATACATAAATATAATTTTCTAGTTGAAGTGAAATATGTTCTTCGATCGCTTCAATATTTCAATATAGAACTATTGTCATATAAAAAAGCAACACAAAGTATTCATCGGTTTAAAATCAATACGGTCATTGGCGCACCGTGTCCCTCAAAGCTGTTGTTGTAAGTCAATTGTGGACAATATTCAATTATTTTGGCTGTGTAAAATATTAATATTATGCTCTAGCATACTAAATGCCGTTTATAGACATAAAACATTTACCAAACAAACGTGACTTTCCATATAGGTATTATATGGAATTATATTTTATCTAAGAAAATAGAGACTCGACCTTACCGCTTTGTAATTATTGGACATGGAGTTATTGTGGTTCGATCTTCTGCAGGGTGGAATTGCCATCCGGTCGTTCGGCCAACAGGTCATAGATTTCTGACATGGACACACGTGATTGCAATGACTGTCCTGATGTTTGAGCGCAGGGACACTAAAAAATAAAATAACAATTATCATAGGGTTTTAATCGCTACAGTATATAATAATATATATTCAAGTTTGTCGGTAAAGATTTTTTTGCTATAATTTCTACTATATTTTGTTTTGAGGGCACGTTTAGAACTTACACATAGTTCTTTTTGTGAACAGCCACAGGAGATGGAGGCGTGTCGTAATTACCGTACGGGTTGACTTCTAGCACGGATTTGATTTTCCTCGGCGTGTCGTAATACTCGTCTTGTGTCGTCGGGTAAGGCTTGTTGTTGTGCTGTTTAAACACACACACACGCACATACATTATAATTAAAAAACATAAGTTATCTACTTTACAGTGAGCTATTACATTGTTATTAACTTAACGTTTTGTATACGAATATGAGCGTTTGCGATCGATAAAATAGCTAAAAGTCCGGTCATCAACGATGGCAGAATAATGCAAAAGAAAGGTCGACACTGAACCGAGGAGATTTTAATTAGAATAACGTTAAAAAAAAAATGAATACCTTTGAGGCGACGGTCTTGGGCGTGTCGTAGTTGTTGAGGTAGTGTTGTTGTGGTTGCAATTTGGGTCTGTCCACTGCCGAAGAGCACCGGCAAGTACACGTGGATGTCTCTGGTTGCAACGGCAAAGGCATCGGAGCTTTTTTAATTGGTGTACTGGTTTCCGGTTTCATGTGTACAGGCTTAGGAGGTCTGGTGGGCATAGTAGCGGCCGTACACGTTTCCGGTTGGCTGTAAGAGTCCGAGAAATACGTCGATTAGAGAACAAAAACGTTATTATTACACTTCACTTTCCACAGTTGTAGTGTAAACAGCGACAGGCATACAAAGCCAGGAAAAAATATATGATTTACTTATACACTATATGAATTTTACACCCTAAGTGATAATAGAAAAAAGAAAAGACTGCACACTAATAATTTTACCACATTTTAGGTCCTGATTATATAGTTTTTAATTATTTTCGCGGTGATTCCGAAAACGTATCTTAAAATAATTTGTTTTAAGTAGTTTTTTGTATTAACGGTTTTCAGACTGTCGCCGCATGCAGTTGTTGCGCAATTCGATGCTCACCTTTTATTGGTTTTGTCATTTGTTGCAGTCGAAGATACTTTTCTGGGCACGGAATATTCGGTACCGCACATCGAACCACTTCCTCCACTGCTGCTACTCTGCGACGACACATAGCCACAACACTGATGTCCGTTGCTTATTTCCGGTATGTAATTAACTGTAAACAGCGCATTATAAATAAGATCCAACTGAGTTCAAATATGATTATATTTATAGTAAAACCATTTACCGGGTAACAATGATAGAGTATTATTAAAAATATTAGTCTAACCAGTTTTCAAAAAAAAAAAAAAACAACATACAAATTATATTACACTGTTGATATTTCTATTTATCGATTACAATGTGAAACAATACCGAGTTCCCAGTGAAGTCGGTAACTAGTAACCTACCAAATAGTTTAGAATAAAAAACTAAAAGAAGTATTAAACGTGAAACATTTGGTATTACTAAAATTAAGAGAAATTATTAACATTTACATTATATAAAATGGCATGTAAAATTCTTCAAAAATGTATTATTAAAAACTGTACTTGACATTCACAATTATGATTAAATATTAACTTTGACAAGAGTTTAATTTCTAAACAAAATTATGCAGTGAAGATATGTAAAATAAAACATGTTTTACATTCAAAGAGGATTGAAAAGACTTTTTAAGTATGAATTAAACAAATATTATAATTTTGTATTGTTAAATAAAAATTAGGACGGCACTTTGGTTATGCAATTTTGTTACATGTGCATGTATTATTTTTCTCTCGATGATTTGTTATAAATTCAGATAAAATATAATTAGACTTAATATTCCAAGTAAAAATCAACTAGTTAATTAAGGAATTTTGGAAATATATCGATTAACTTAACTACTTTATAGTTCTGTTGTTTTACAACTGATCTAAAATATAGTTTAACAATTACACTTAAATTGCAATTCTTTGTTGTTTTATAAAATAAAGACAATTTGGTTGATCTGGAGAATGTTTTTATTTTTGTAATAACAGTTTTTGAAAATAAATTATAGAAGAAAAAAACCCAAGTTGGCTTATGACCGGTAGATAAATATTAAGTGGATTTCTATAAAAACGCCATTGGTTGAAGAAAGTATTGAGACTTTGCCAAATTGGCTTCAAGGTTTTAAGAGCTTTGTGTCACGTTTACTTTAAAGCGAGTTTTTTTTTCGTGCTCTTTATTGGTCGTATTCGTACAATCTGACCAAGTATTATGAGCAACGACAGTAACTAGTTTTGGAAGGTGAATCGAACCTTCCAAAACTACCTATGACCAAGATTTAATTGCGCGGAAACTCATTTACTGGAGAGAAAGAATCGTGCTCGCCACACGGTACACAGTACGCTCGTTTTTTGACTGTGACAAACCCCAACTATTCAAAACACTCTGATATTTTAGTAATTAGTATACACACTGTGTGTGTCCGTTACTCACGCGTTGATACGTTGTTGTCCATTGTCCACGCAGGGTTGAAGCCGACGCTTCCCGGTGTGTTGGCCATGGTCGACGACCGAGACAAAGCTCCTAGTTTGCTTATACAGCTGGCACATCGTTCCAAAGCCGTTTCTGGGGTCCACGTGCATTCCTAAACGCGGTCGGACCAGTTAGTTGGACTTATAAACATTTTATATTGCGTGTCTCGTATAGTTCCTACCTGTAAGTTGGCGTCTTGAAAGTCGCCGACGGAAGCTGTGTCGCCAAAGTCGGAGTTATCTAGACGGCTCTCGCTGGACGGCCAACACACGTTTTCCTCGTTGCTGCGGTCATGAGAGTTGTGCTGTCCAAACGAGCTGCCATCGCCACCGTACTCGGATGTCCTGGAGTCCAGTCGCGACAGCAGGCCACCTCTTCTGGACGGGCTTTCTAAAACTGTGTGTCCACGCGACATACGCGGTGTGAAACCAGAGCGGCTTTTAACAATAATCAAATAGTCGTTGGCTTACCCGACATGTTTCTGGCCAGAAGCCTTTTTCTGGTAGCCAGTTTGCCCTCGGCCGCCAAGTTCATACATCTGGTGATCTCGTCTCCTTGGTCCGTGAAGCATACGAACAGCCCCTCGCCCTTGCCGCACCTCGAACCGCCCTCGTAGCAAAATCGGTTTTCAATCACGCCATATTTCCTGTGTTTGCGAAAAACGTGACATTAGCTCTACACAACACCCAGCACAGAGATGCGTCATAGAGTACTCACCTAAGATGCCTGAGTTCCCAGACGCCAGCCAGTCTAGGGGGTACGCCGGTCGTCATAGAAAATCTCAAGTCCTGCACGTGCATACGAGCCGGGCCGGCGGATATTTTTGATTTGGGCGGGCACGACGCTATTTGGATCAGGAACTGTTGATCTGCAACTCGGATAATAATAAATCAACTCAAATTCCACATATATTCTCGAACGCAAAACGTTGTTATTGTTCCAATGTGTAATATGTTACCGACATTTTATCTTGTTTCCTTCAAACGCACGCATTAAACCCTCATTCGATCCTCAGTTTTTACACTTCATTTTCGGGTCGTTTTACCTACTTTACACCATACTTATCATCTTAACTCCCGCCCGCACTACCGACCCTTATAAAAAAGGCAATATTTTATTCGTCGACTGCTTTTGACGTGTTCACGTTAATCTTAAAATTCCTAATCACGGCGACTGCGGACATTTTTCAAAAGCTTTAACAACCCCGGAGGGAACTGGTTCCATTCGTGGTGTCTTACAATGGTTGAACATTTATCTCCGTCGAGCCTTAAGAGTTCTCCCCCAAATATATACCCTTGTTATTGGCGTATTTTATAACCGGATAAATGTTAAGGTTTACTCACCATCTCCCAAGTTCGCGGATATTTTTACTTGCCACTGAATTAGCCTCTCTCGTGTATCGAACGCCAATACGACTGTCACGTCCTGACAGATAATCGCTACTGTATTGGACTCTTTATCCAACGTGAAACCTGCAAAGATAGTTGAATAATTATTAAAAGGTATTTGTACAGCAAATTGTTGACGTGTGACTAAATATACTACTGGTATACGATTTATGTGCAACTCACCAGATTCCACACCCAAAAAGTGTTGTAACGACAGAGACGCTTTCGTTTGGCCGTGTTTGTATCGATCTTTGCTGTCTCTATACAGCTGTAAGTGTAAACAGTCTGAAACAAAACGAAAAAATACACTCTCGTAAGTCGATTGTTTTTTTTTTATTTAACGCAATGTGTGAGAAAAAGCGCGTCCGGAAAACGGTTCATTAGGCGACACAAAGTACTTTCGGGCATTTATCGAAGAGTTGGTAATTGTTTTATCCCGGGAGACGCGTTTGCGTTGGCGACAAAACATGTCAGTGGAGGAAACAATTTCCGATAACAACAATGGGTAAAACTTTAAAGCGGTAACAATAATTAACTTTTGATCTCGGCCACCCGAAAAGTTCTTTGGGCCGCTACCTTTACACGCGTGTATAAGCGTGTGTGTGTGTGTTACGTGGCGTAAAAGAGGAAAATGTCTCATTTGTCTAGTCTCCGGCGAGACTAAAAGTTAAATGGTTTACTTTTGCTACTGGAATCGGAACTGATGGCGGGTAAAAGTTTTTCTTTTTTTGCACTTCCTCACTTTCGTGTTTTTGTATAGACCTCGATCGATAAATTATATCGTTCTGCATAAAAACGACATCTTTCCACAAACCCGCAGAGTGTTGCTTTACCGTTTTCATGCCCGTCAACATTTTGTATTATTTTCTTTTACTCGAGGGAATAAGAACGGTGCCCAGGTGTTTTAAAGGAAATCACTTCCAATTCGCGCGGTGGTGAAAAGAAAATGTTTTAAACGAAAGACGACGGCGGCAAGTATACCGGTGTTTTCGGATCGAACGCGGATGTCTCCCCTATCGTATTTGTCCATTTGAACATAACAGGCTGCAAGTATACTGTGTTGAGACGGCGCACGAGAGATTTGTGACCGCCGTCGACGTATTCTTCGAGTATTTATCAAAATAATTATAGGAGCAGTGTCGGCAACGTTTAAAGAGGCCTGGTGTATAACACAACAACTACAACACGGGTCTTAAAACACAATCGTTTTGGCTCAATACAAATACATGTACCGACAAACAGTCGGCAGACACAAATGTATTGCCTAAAACGAGGTTCGACGCTTTGCAATACGACGTTCGACGTTCGTTTTACGGTTGCCGGAAGTGATAATAGAAGTCTTATCCGGTCGAGTGCTCTTTCATAAGTGACAGAAACTGCAGAAATGACTAGGACCCGGAAGTTTATGCTCTTAAAACAACCGAAATATGCGCTAAAGTGATCTATAATAAATAATAATATATGCCCTAAAAATATTTTTTCATTTTACATTAAGTTTTAAGTTTTTTACTAAGCTAAGAATCAAGAGTTGCAAACTGTTGAGTCTTTGGTAAAAAACTGTTTTTTATTATGTAGATTGGTAACTTGTCAAATCCAACAGTGGGCAGACTCTCCGCTATAATGACGTCATTAGCAATCGTAAGCACATTGCCTGATAATAACCAACGACAAACTCTGTCTAGTTCAACAAGATCGTCTGGGTTATGACGTGCAATACTGCAATGTCGTTAAGGATTTAAATCATAATATTTTATATAATGTTATCTACAATAAGAACAGAGTAGGAAAAAAAACAACCTAGTCGTTTTATTATTTACTTTTAAATAAATACTTCATAGCGAAGCGAAGAGTTCTTTTGCTCGTTCTATTTTTTGGTCCTTCAAATTGGACCAAATTACAAATGACGTTAATCGGTTTCGTTGCTAATATTATTATATAGTCAAAAGAATTTCTTCTTTGAACAGACTGCGACCTCCTTGTAATATAATGACACGCGGGCGAGGGTAGGATTTATTTTACCGATAGAATGTGGTGGCTTAGCGAGGATATTATTATTTTTTTTTACCGTTCAGAATATTTCTTCACTCGTTTATCATCGTGTTCCATCCCCAGTGTATTTTATCCGAACCACTGGGTAGTCGCCAAACGAAAACGTGTACGGAATTTCATCACGATTGAGGTGGCTTTGTTTTTGATTTAGTCCTTCTGTCCCTCTCCTCTGTTGTTGATATAATATGCATGCTGCGTGATGGACGGAGAACATCGAAAGTATAAAAATTCTTTATACCTAGTGCTGGGGTGGTAACGTTGAAATTGAATTTCATGACCGCCGTGGTGATGGTTTTTTTTTTTGTTCGAATTTAATTGAAATATTATATTTTAATACACAGAGACACACAGACTCATATATATATATATATATATAATTTTACTGGGACGCCATTACATTTCACGCATAGTTAGGTCCGTGTCGTCTGACAGTCCGCGGATTCATAATAATAATAATAATAATATTAATGAAATTCTCGAATTCAATTTGCAAAGAAAAGAAAAATTTAATGTATAGATATAAATATAAAACAATTCGATGAGAGACTCTGATCGCAGGATCGTCGGAATCAGGAATTGTCGGGTAATGACTTTGCGCACGTATTTGGTTTCCGGACAAATTGAATTTCGACGTTTCCTGGTTTGTTCTTGTCCTTTCCCCTCTTTTATTTGCCTCGCCAACTTTCCGTTGTCTCACCACCAATCATCATCCACACCAGTGCATATAATCGAGTATATTCAAATGAGATTCCAGTTGGTCTTTTGTCGTCTCGTCCGATCGCGTCGTACACCAATTAATTATAATCGTCGTTGGCTTTGAGTTTTGCACCACTTAACCGCGGTCGTTATATATGCAAATAAAATTTACTAATTCTAATTTAACCGTGCAGTGTCAACAACGACGTACTTATGTGACGAATAAGAGTCAATTTGTTCCCGAGGAAGTGTCATAGTCTCCTTCTGTCCAAGTCGTAAAACAATGCGTGCGTTGGTTTCGGGAAAAAAATACAATCATTTTTACCATTTATACCGCTTCTCGACTATTTATCATAAACGTTATTAAACGTACGGAAACGGTCACATGTGGGGCACCGCTCGGACATGTGTCCAAACGGGACTTTGGGTAGTCTCCTGAGATTATTTACTTGTTGGACACGGGAGTTGTTCGAAATACAGTTGTTTTTGGGATTAAAGAAAGAGATTAATTTTTCGGCACTCGTTCAGTCGATATCTGGTGACGGCGGTGTCACGAACAGAAGGGGAAAAGTTGGAAAAGGCGCGTGTCCGAAAGCAATTTTCAAAAAATAAAACACCTTTCGCGAGACGTGCAGACGACAAAAACATATTAATTTGTTGAGTTCAGGTTACACACATAAACACCCGTTGCGGATATGATAAATTGGTTTTGCCTACGATAAACGCCGTTATTATTCCATCGACAACAATATCTAAACACGTGACTTACGTTAGAACACATATGGCCACGCCTGGAGCAGATGACGTCCGGTGCCTACCCGGGAGACCGTTAAAACCGTCAACGGATTTTTCATCAACGCCAAAATAATACAGTATACACTAACTGCTAGCTACAATAATTTGCTGTAATAGTTTGAATTATTATTATTGTCGTCGAATCACTCGTACGGCAACTTACGAAATTTGTAAATTAATTCGAATCAAGGATAAAATGATTTAATATAATATGTGAAGCATCGTCAGAAACCCCATTAACAGAAAATGTCCTCTAGACTATCTAAAACGAGTCTCTATTGGAACTGGAAAACGAATTGTTTGTTTGCTCGTCTCTTTAATAGTATTACTAAAACTGCACCATCCTTGTAAGCTCCTCTCACGAGGACAGTGATCAGTTTTGTAATTATTTTGACTATAGTTATTTTATTAATTCTAATTTATACAAATTCAGCGTTTCTGGCCAAACGAGCTACGCGCGATATAAATTGTATTTTTCTTTTATCATAATGTGTTTAGCGTACATGCATTATTCTCGTGTGACTTATTGAATTTCTAAAACGATACGATGCGATAATGTATTTCACAAAAAAATATTCATGAACATAATTTATGAGCAGTGTATTATAATATGATCAACTATGTTATAGCACCGTTAAAATATTCGATTGTCGACAATATGATTTAAGCGATGGAGCTTGGTGTCACATAAACGTATAATATTGTTTTGAATAAATTTCACTCGTGAGCTACAATATTTGCATGCGGTTTAGATACTTTGGAAAAACAAAACCAATAAATGGTATTTTTATTAGAGACGTAGTTAAAGATTCTATAATTATGGTCGCGAGTTACTGAACTATAAAATAAATATGTCGACGTGTCCTACGAAAAAAGACGTAAGTCGGTTTAAAAAAAAAAACATTGATGACACTCGTTTTCGCTGGTAATACAGAAAATGAGTTATCAGTTTAAAAAAATACATTTTTTTTTTTAAAATTGAGATACGTCCTTCTTTGTTGGACATGCTATTTTATCGGTAATATAGACTTACATTTAAGTGTAATAACAGTAATACAAATTGTAGTAAAATAAAAAAAGAACGTCAAATTAATCTATACTTCTAGCAAGTAATAATTCAAAGGAAGTCTTAGTAGGCTGCCCCTATAAGGAGCAACTTACAAGGCGTGCGTGATGAATCATTATTATAAGTGTCGGTAATTCTCTTTAGGTGTACAAAATCTATGACGAAGATCCGAAAAGGTTGTTTATTAGTAAGCGACCCATAGCTGTGACGGCCGCTGTTCGCCAACCGATAATACAGTACATACGTCCGGAGGGAGTGTGGAATGTTATTAGAAGGAGCTTTTCTTTTCTCGTATAAATTCTCTTGCAAGTAAAACCCTCAAAATGAAATATTTTCTTCGCGATTGTAGCAGGAGCAAAGAAAGCGATGGGTGATGTTTAGAGAGATAGGAAAAGATAACCGCTCGTCGTACAACAATAGGGTGGTTGAAATTGAAAGTAAACACACGATTTAACGACCGCCGTACGAAATATATTTTAAATTACCTTCACAGTATTGTGGTATCAAACCGATCTGGTAGACCAATAATAATATGATGTTTAGTAGCATACGTTTGTAGTAAAGAAAACTGTAGTATTCAATAGTTTTGTGTAGATGATAGCCTTGATAGTCGGGGGTTGACGTAGACTTATGCAAATTATTGTTTTTTTTTCCAACAAAGTCCTAAACTTAGATTGTA